AGGGAGACCAGAATTTTCTTTGAAAACAATCTGAAATCAATTATAATAGCAAAAGGTTCATCAGGCTTTTGTCTGCAAGACTGAATTTTGTTCCCATCAACAGGCTTAGAAAAAGCTACAGTAATTGTTTGGAGGAGATTTCCAGTGAATGTTCTAGTATCTTGCCAAAAGTTAGAGATTTGGGATCCCTGGGTGGCTCAGCAGTTTGGCGCCTGCCTTCGGCTCAGGGCATGATCCTGGAGTCCCAGGATTGAGTCCCAATCAGGCTCCTTGCATGGAGCCTGCTTCTCCCGATGCCTGTGTCTCTGCCTCTCTCTCTCTGTCTCTCATGAATAAATAAATAAAATCTTTAAAAAAAAAAAAAGTTAGAGATCTTTTTCTCTAAACTCCTTTCAAGGTATTCCCTTCAGGCTAGCTATAGCCAGTATTTGGCCTGGCCCTCACCAACATGCATGTGGACTAATTGCTAAAAAATCTGAGAAACCAGGTTGGTAAGTTTGAATATGTGAAATGCTTCAGCAACCTATGGGGTTTCTCAGTCACTATAGGAAACTTTAACTATGGCTGTCAATTCAGCATCATTCCAGGGAACATAAGAAATTTAGGGGTTATTTTGATCCTCAGAAGATTTAACTGTAGGGGCGCATGGATGGCTCAGTCAGACGTCCCAACTTGATTTCGGTGCCCGTCATGATTTTGGAGCTATGAGATCGAGCCCTGGGAGCCCTGGGAGCCCTGCATCGGGCTCTGTGCTCAGTGGGGAGTCTGCTTAAGATTCTCTCTCTCTCTCAAAAAGTTTTTAAAATCTTGAAAAAAAAAAGACTAATTAGCAATAATCGCACCTCGGGTAAACCTCATTGGCTATGATGCTGCTGTGTGAAGCTGTAAAGATTTAACTTTAAAGGGGCAGGTTTTGGGATCCCTGGGTGGCGCAGCGGTTTAGCGCCTGCCTTTGGCCCAGGGCGTGATCCTGGAGACCCAGGATCGAATCCCACGTCTGGCTCCCAGTACATGGAGCCAGCTTCTCCCTCTGCCTATGTCTCTGCCTCTCTCCCTCTCTCTCTCTGTGACTATCATAAATAAATAAAAAATAAATAAAGGGGCAGGTTTTTATAGGTTTAGTAGAAGAGGAAGCAGGGCGAGGTTCAGATACAAAAGGAAGTTTGGTGAGAGAATTAGAATGAGGAGGTTGAAGGTGTAGAGGAGATGGAAGCAGCAGAATGGGAAGGAGGGTGATAACACCACCGGTGGGGCCTGAGCATAAAGTGGCTGCCCCACTCCTGGGGAGGGTGGGGGTCTCAGACCTTAAGAGTCTTTTTTTGTCTTTGCCTCAGTCTAGAAATTGTATTTTGCAGAGAGGCAGTTTTAGATTCCTTGGTAATGTTTGGAAGATTTTAAGATACCAGTCAAAATAGACATCTCATTCAGGTTTGACAATTTTAGAGACATGGCTGCCTGGTTTAGTTTTAAGGAAATCAGAAGTTCCCCTTCATTGGCCATTGAAGTTCTAAATTACTTTTTGATTAAGTCAGCTCATTTAGTCAGACATGGGCTTGAGGGAGAACCATGATGTTTAAACATAAAGCCACTAGTGTTCCAGAAAGGGAGCTGCCCTCAAGGCATTTTAATGACTGAGATCCTGTTTCTTAGAGATTTTTCTCTAGAGTAAAAAAAGAAAATTCCTGAACAGCACAGTTTCAACAGGAACATCCTGGTTCCAAAGGAATCAGACCAAAGGCCAGCACAGAACCAGTGGGAACAGCCCAGTTCTGGGAAGGAGGTAGACCAAAACTAACACACTTTCAAATAGGCACAGTTCCAACAGGAACCACCTGGTTCCAAAAAGGAGTCAGATCAAAGGTCAGACAAATACTCTGAAAGGACAAAGCCTTAAGACTGGAGATAAAGCCTGGAGAGCTCAGAACACAGAGTAGAGATCACAGTCCGGGAGAAACTTAGCCTCCAACTCCAGGGTTTGTAAGAGAGCAGTGAGCTTAATTGGCTCTGTGGGCCCTGGCACCTTTTTGCTCACCAGCCTCGAAGTTATTGGGGGGTCATTTCTGCATCCCTTTCTTTTTTTTTTAAAGATTTTATTTATTTATTCATGAGAGACACACACAGACACAGGCAGAGGGAGAAGCAGGCTCCATGCAGGGAGCCCGATGTGGGACTCGATCCCAGGTTTCTGGGATCACACCCTGAGCCAAAGGTAGACACTCAGCCACTGAGCCACCCAGGAGTCCCTGCATCCCCCTTCTGATCATCAAATAATGTTAACCTTAAAAATGAAAGCTATTAAAAAAAAAAAAGAAAGAAAGCTATTTTACCCGTAAAAATTGGTTTATTTGGGAATGACAGACACAGAATTGCAGTTTGGCACATGAAAGCTATCTCAAGTCCCATAAACAAAGAAGAGAAACATTTCCTGGGGAAAAAGGAAGAAGTTAGGAGGGGTTTTGAATGAAAGTCCACTGGAGAAAAGCAGGAGTTATGGCTTTTCATTGGCTGAGTTGCAAGAGGTAGTCAATTTCTTGTAGAAGACTCAGTGAACATCTTTTCCTGTTGGGGCCTTTAATTGACAATTTCTATAATTGACATTCAGTGGTACGGCCCCCCCTTCAGCCTCCCTACTCTACTCTGATAAGATTTCCCCTTATTAGTTTTCATACTCTTTAATGTCTGGCTTAATAGAGGGCAGTTGGATTCTCATATCTGCTTCTGCAGTCTGTTGCTGTTATCACATAGCATGCAGCCTCTAAAAAACTTCACTGTACATGGTTGAGAATGAGAGTGGAAAAATTTCAAATAATGGCTATTATTATGAAAATAATTTTAATCTCCCAGGCCTCCTGAAATATGGCCCCCTCAGATCCTTAGACCATACTTTGAGAACCAGTGTTCTTAAAGAAAAGGCAGCTGGTGGTACAGGTTGAAATTCTGAGCTACTAAGGCATACCCAGACTCCCCAGACTCAGCTCCATCCCTTCAAAACAAAAACTTAAGAACTCTTTTTTTTTTTTTTTGAGATTTTATTTGTTTATTCATGAGAGAGACAGAGATCCAGGCATCCCAGGCTCTAACTTTTAAAAGCAGAAGTTTATACTGGGGGAATATTAATAGGGAAGTGTCCTGTTCCTTAGATCTGTGTTTTTGTTTTTTAAAGATTTTCTTTATTCATGAGAGAGAGAGAGGCAGAGACACAGGCAGAAGGAGAGGCAGACTCCATGCAGGGAGCCCGAGATGGGACTCGATCCGGGGACTCCAGGATCATGCCCTGGGCCGAAGGTGGCCCTAAACCGCTGAGCCACCCAGGCTCATTCAAGGGAGAATGTGAAAGTTTTGGTTTGCATCCATCTTGGGTGCAGAAGGGGGACAGGACAATAAGCTAAGAATAGGCTTTTAAAACATACTCAGGTGACCCTCAGTTGTTTTGTTTTACTTGTACTAACGTGTTATTTTCATCTTCTAAGTACTTTTAAGGATCTTAAGTATACTGTACTTGAGTCTCAGGTTACTTTTTTTTAAAATAGATTTATTTATTTATTTGAGAGGGAGAGATCGAGCGAGTGTAGTATGGAGAGGCAGAGGGAGAGAAGGAGAGAAAGTCTCAAGCTGGCTCCCTGCTGAATACACAGCCCCACACGGGGCTGGATCTCACGATCAGGACCACGAGATCATGACCCGAGCCAAAACCAAGAGACAGACACAGACACAACCAACTGTGCCACCCAGGCACCCCTCTCAGGTCACATTTTTAAATCTCAAGAAAGCTCAAGGGAGATTAGCCAATGTAATAAATTTTGATGCTGTTGCTTGAAAAGGAAGTTGCAGAGCCTCTCCTTCCCTAACTGCACTGTCTAGCACTTATTTGCTATTGGCCCTTAATTCCAGGCCCACATTTTCCTCAAAAAGGCCTTCTTTTGCCCCTGAATTGAGATTTCCCTTTTCCATGTTATCTTTACATAATGAAAATTTTGAATGAATAAAATTAAAATGTTGACTTAAAAAAAAAAGCTCAAGGGAAAAACAAATGGGAAAATCTATTATTACATGTAGTATCTATCGTAAGTCTCCTACAACCAGAAATTTTGTCCACCAGGGGGAGTTGACAATAAAGAATTTGGAAAGGCTAGATTTTGGTGGGAGTATGAGGTATAGCGGTGGTGTAAGCTGGATATCCGTTTCACTGTGTATTTTCAGTTTGTTTATAAGCTAAGCTATCCCAGCCAATCCAAGAAACCTATGCTAGAAAAGATGTATGAAAGCTTAAAAAAGGTTCTTTAGAATTCTTATTCCAACTCTTAATAAATTATAAAGAGACATTTATTGCTCAGAAATATTCAGGCAAGATATGTATTGAAGTACATTTAGTCTATCAAAATCTAATGGGAAAATAAAGTCACTTTTTTTTTTTACTTGATGCCTGTGTATATTTAAGTCATAGGTGTTCTTTTACTGTGAGAATTACTTGTGTGTTGTGTGTGGCTGTATAAATTGCATTTTAAAAGAGTTTTTACTCCTAAGCTTTAAAGCTCAAATTCTCAAAAAATAAAAATAAAGCTCAAATTCTCTAGTATTTTGAGACTCTGTTTTGATTATCAACTCTGTCATTGTCCTCTTGTTTTTAAATGAAATCTAATCTGGCATTTTAATTACCCTAGTATCTTCATCTGAAATAATGAGATGGCCCTTAATTTGAAGCATTGTACATCTTTTGATTTTTTTTTTTTTAGTGGAAACTATGAGTGTTTGAGGATTGACTTTATTTTTTTTTATTTTATTTATTTATGATAGTCACAGAGAGAGAGAGAGAGAGAGAGAGAGGCAGAGACATAGTCAGAGGGAGAAGCGGGCTCCATGCACTGGGAGCCCGATGTGGGATTCGATCCTGGGTCTCCAGGATCGCGCCCTGGGCCAAAGGCAGGCGCCAAACCGCTGCGCCACCCAGGGATCCCTGAGGATTGACTTTAATTCTAACACATGCTCCTCCCTTTTTCTAGGGTTCAAGGAATTTTTCTCTAAATAGTTCTAAGAGCAGTACAGCCAGAAATGGTGGCTTTCTCCTGTAAGTATATAATTGGATGTGCTAAATTGAATAAGGAAATGGGCTTTTGTGCTGTTTCACTTAGGTTTTTCTTTGTTTCCATACATAGCAGTACGAGCATGAAATGGGTACAGTTTTCAAGCCTACATGTTGATATTCCCAAGGATTTGACTAAGCCTACGGTATGTATTCCCTATTTCTTTGTAAGGAGCTATATTAGCAATAAACTCTTCTCATCATTTCATTTGGGATTGTTTCCCAGACACTTTATGAATAAAAATATTTTGTCCTGGAATGCCGACAAGTACACAGTGTGCCTAAGTAAAGTACTCTAATGTCCTTGGGTGCTTGCATTATCTCTCAGAGAATCAAAGAATCGATTATTTACCCCAAATAACTGATAACTGTGGGAATAAGCAGACTTTTTCTTTCGTTCAGCACTATGTGAAGAGTGGTCAGAATTAATGATGCAGAATATTTGATACTATGTTACAGAAAATTTTTTTGTAGGCTTCAGGTCTTTATTTTCATTTTAATGCATTGGGCCTGGGCCCAGACTGTTCACAGTGAGGAAGAACATTACCACAAGCAAAGAAAATCTAGAAGTAGAAAATCTGTGTAACCTTGTTTCCTTTTAGTGAAAACCATGATTCAGTCAACCCAGTTTTTGTGTAAATTTGTGGTTTAAACAATCCTTACAAATTCTGAATCTTTTCCGTTCTACCTCCCCAAAATAATCCCTTTTAACAGTTTGGAATGACTTCTTCTAGATATTTGTGTGTAATCATTTCATCTGTGCACATGCACACCAAAATGGAATTGTATTTTACATAATGTGCTGCTCTTTTGATTTTTTTCACTGAATACATACTGGATATATTTCCATGGCAGTACATATAATAAACTCTGGGCCTCCAAGTCAAATGTTTGCTTGGGCCAGGCCTGGAGGAAAGGTGGTGGGGTGGCTCTAAGTGAGACAGCTGCTCCTTACTCTAGCCCCATGTTACTATCTGGGAAATTAGACCTAGTGATGTCACCTGGTCTTAAATTTTCCAAGCTAAACTAAATCCAAATTTTTGTTCAAGATCTCTTGATTTTTCATGTCACGACAGATTGATACTATCTTTAAAACCCTGTATGGACTAGTCAAAACACATCTTAGGGCTGTATTACCACTCACTTGTTCCCCAAGTTATTATACAGGATATCAGTGTATTCTTCCAGCAACCTTCTTTGGGGTAATTGAGAGTAAATATCTAACTAGCTTCCTGGTTATTAAGTAGATCTCCTTTCAGGAGTGAAGTAATTTAACCCTGAATCATTGGATTAGTAAGATAAATTATTGGTCTAATGAATGAATGAAGGTGAATATAATTCACCTCTTGGAAGAAAGTCAGAAATGTCAAACCCATTATCCCTAAGATCTTCAAGAATTAGAGTGGAAGAGGTAGAAGCTAAATATACAGTCACTGCCATAACATTTTAATTAGAAATGAGTAATTTTTCTATTAGGGCAGGCAAAACACACATGAATAAAACCTAATAAAAAATATGAATGGCAATAGCTTGCCTTTGTATAATAATGTTTTTTATAATTTATAAGCACTTTAATCTGTGTGTACTTATTAGTTCCCTACAGAGATGCTGTGAGTGATATTGCTGTGAGCTCTAGTATAGGTATGATCCTATTTTATATATGAGCAAACTGCAGTGCATTGAAATTCTCTGACTCGCCTGTTGTCATTCAGCTGGAAGTGGAAGTTTAATTCCCAGTCCAAATCTTCTGACCTGACTAGATCCAAAAATCCTTTCCCATTATATATTTGAGGTTCAATAACTATGAAGTTAAAGGTTCCTTTAGTGATTTTGTAGTTGCTTGAAAGTCTTTTTGGTTTAAACTATATTTTAACGGATTGTATGAGTCATTGTGGAGATCTGAATGTCATAGTTCCTAGAAAATTAAGCTAACAGTACTAAGATGTTACTCAGCATTTTTCTCTCCATTTATTAGGAAACTCTGAAATTGTTCGAGGATAATATATGAAATTTTCAAATTATAAATATTAGAGGAAGCACAACTGAAACTTTTCTTTTTGATTTTAAAATTGTAGATAACCATTTCTGATGAACCAGATACATTATATAAGCGCCTGTCAGTTTTAGTAAAAGGCCATGATAAGGCTGTATTGGACAGTTATGAATATTTTGCCGTGCTTGCTGCAAAAGAACTTGGTATCTCTATTAAAGTGTAAGTATGATCTTTCCTAATCTGACCTATTAGGGGCTGGAAAATGGTCAACCAGGAAAATGTACTGATCCCAGGTAGGTCTGAGCTCTTAAAATACCATAGAAACTCATGGTGGGTAGAGTTTAGATTTGTCATATTATCCTAATCAGGATTCCTATCTATGAAAATTTTTAAATACTAGAATGAGTGGACAAGGAAATCTTTTATTTAGCAACTGTATAGACATAAGGAAACCTAAGAAGTCCTTACGTCTGGACTCTCCATGGAGCAGGGTGGTGAATTAGGTGAACAAGCAATCCTTTTAGACAACTTGGATCTGCTGATCTTTGTCTGATATAGCCAGAGTTTCAAAACTGCCTTCAGAAACATCACTCACCCAGTCATTTCATACAGGAACAAGGTGAGCTTCATGCGGCCCTAAAAATCACTGGTGGGTCAAATATAACTATGGTAACCTCCTCCTTATCCGTGGAGGATACTTCCAAGACCCCCAGCAAATGCCCGAGACGGTGGGTGGTACTGAACCCTCCATGTACTATTTTCTCCTATACATATATACCTATGATGAAGTGATTTATTTATTTGTTTGTTTATTTTGATGAAGTGATTTATAAATTAGGCACAGTAACTAGTCCTGAAATAGAACAGTTGCAACAGTGTACTGTAATAAAGTTATGTGAATGTCCCCCCCCCCCCCCGCCAAAATCTCTTCTGGTGCTGTACTCACCCTTGACATGATGTCTGATGATAAAATGCCAGGTGATGAGCTGAAGTGAGGGGAATTAGTGGGCACTGGGATGTTGTGTTAGGCTGCTATTGACCTTCTGACTCTCAGAAGGAGTTACCAGCTTCTGGACCGTGGTTGACCACAGGCAACTGAAACTTCTGAAAGCAAAACTTTGGATAAAGGGGAGCCTTCCGCACCTCTTTTGTCTTGTCACCTGCTCCCTCTGATGCTGAACAAGGCCCATTTGGGGCTTTGCCAGTCTTGACTTAGAAGGAACGCACACCTTTCCTAGAGTATTTTGTGGTTATTGATACATTTGTACATTTCCCTAAAACAACACACACAGTAACACATTGGTGCTGCTCTTCACAGTTCATGTATTTGGTCAAAAAAGGACTTCAGGGGTAAAAACCAGAGGCGTATGCATGTGCCCTTACCTGCCAGGGCTCATTTTTAGGTCTGTGGAATATTTGTTCCCATTACTGTGTATGGTGTTTATTTTGGCCTGAGCTTTATGACAGCAGCTGTTAATACATGACAGTCTTGGCAAATGGAAGTCTGTAAATGGTAGGTAATGCCTATAATTGAGTTTAAGCCTGACCTATAAAATTGTGGAATAGTGCTTTGATATCAGTGACTCAGGTTTTAACACCACTTAGCTTAAGTATGCTGTTTTGCCTGTTGTTTTTTTAGACACGAACCTCCAAGGAAAATAGAACGATTTACTCTTCTCAAATCAGTGCATATTTTCAAGAAGCACAGAGTTCAGTATGAAATGAGAACACTTTACAGATGTTTAGAGGTGAGTTCATTTCAGACACCCAAACATTTTTGAAATGTCCAGTTTCACACTACCACATTGTAACTTTCCTTTAATGTCAACTGGGTGGACTTCCTGTCAGCCCATGATGCTGATAGCTGTAGAGAAGAGAAGGTAAGTAACAGGAGCTCAGAATCAAGTAAAGCCATCCTTTAGAGCAGTTCATACTTTAACTCAACAATGAAGATTATGGTGACTAATTTGCATATAATAATAAAGCCTTGGAACAATTTTGCTTATATTTTAAAAATTCTAGTTAAGTTTTTACATAGTTCTAGTGATTCTTTTTGCACACTAACAGGGCTTTCCATGTCCACAATGGGAAACATTAAAGTTTTTCATTATTCGTTTGTGCATCCACTAGAGTCAGCACAGTCTTGTGGTTAAGGAGAGCAAGGGTTCTGGGGTCAGACAGGTCCAAGTACTGGCATGTACCACCTGTGTGATCTGCACCTCAATTCCTTCATCTGTGGGATGAGAATAACAGTGGTACCCATCTCGTTAAGGTTAGTGTGAGGATTAAATGAGATATTTATCAAAAGCCCTTAGAATGCTCCCATTACATAGCAAATGATTAGTAAATGTTATTAAAATGAATGCAGGTGTACTGCTTTAAAATCATGCTTACCAGCTGGGTTCAAAAAGCCCTGGTTTAAAGGTGTTCTGGGCCATGTGCCCACCTTCCAGTCAACCAGATCTGTATTTTCTTCCTTTTCTTTCTTTCTTTTCTAAAGATGTATGTATGTATGTATGTATGTATGTATTTGAGAGAGGGAGAGCACAAGTGGGGAGGAAGGGGGCAGAGGGACAAACTCCCTTCTGAGTGTGAAGCCTGACGTGTGGCTCGACCCCAGTACCCCAAGATCATAACCTGAGCCAAAGTCAGATACTTAACCAACTGAGCCACCTGGATGCCATGGTACTTTTTTCCTTTTAAATTGGAATTCTGGGGGATCCCTGGGTGGCTCAGCGGTTTGGCGCCTGCCTTTGGCCCAGGGCACGATCCTGGAGTCCCAGGATCGAGTTCTGCATCGGGCTCCCGGCATGGAGCCTGCTTCTCCCTCTGCCTGTGTCTCTGCCTCTGTCTCTCTGTGTCAAAAAAAATAAATAAGTAAAATAAATAAATAAATAAATAAATAAATAAATAAATAAATAAATAAATAGTAAATCTTAAAAGAAAAAATAAATAAATTGGAATTCTGAGGGTGTCTATAGGTGGCTCAGTCAGTTAAGCGTCCGACTCTTAATTTCAGTTCAGGTCATGATCTCAGGGTTATGAGATCAAGCCTGAGTTGGGCTGCACGCTGGACCTGGAGCCTACTTGGGGTTCTCTCTCTCTTCTGCCTCTCCCACCCCTACCTGCCTGCATGCACACTCTCTCAAAAAAAGTCAGAATTCTGTGTAAGATTTCATAGAGAAAGAAAAGGCTGTACCACGTTATTTAAAAAAAAAACTCAAAATTTCTGCTTTAATAGCGTATCATGAACCAATTTCATGTTTGAAATTTCAGTTAGAACATCTAACTGGAAGTACAGCAGATGTCTATTTGGAATATATTCAGCGAAACTTACCTGAAGGAGTTGCCATGGAAGTGACAAAGGTATGACTTGAATTTCTGTATCCCATTGGAGAGGGATCTGCATTGTTTTGATACTTTGCAGCCCTGTCCTAGCCCACTGAGTGGAGGGGAGGGCATGTAGTGGACGTAGAGGTGGAGTTGCCATAGTGGTTGGGGTCTCTGCCTCCCTTTGCAGCGGTGGCAGCCCAGCAGAATCCTGCCACTGCGGCCTACATCCTCCCCAAGCCGCCTTTGGAGTCTCCCTCCCTCTTAGTGGTTGTCTAGACATAGGTTCCACATTAACTGGCAGTCCCTGGAGATCACTGAGGATCAAATAGGCTGAGTGAGAGTGTTTTATGAGTCCTGCACAAAGATGAGAGGGGTAAAAGGAACAAAGAAGACAAGAGGACTTGGGAAACAAAATTAGTAAGTCCAATTTATGGCTAAAGAGTTCAGCTAAGTCCATATTATGTCATAGTTTTGTTTTTCTCTTTTTAGACAAAATTAGAACGGTTACCAGAACACATCAAGGAGCCAATCTGGGAAATGGTACCAGAAGAAAAAGCAGAAGGCAAGTCCTAACGTCTCAGCGAGTCCACTGGTGCTGGCATTTGACCCGAGTGTGGGTCAGACATGTATGTTGAGATAGAAAGGCTTCCAGTTGGGATGACTGTGAGTCTACCTGACTGCTCTGTTGAGCCCACATGAGCCTACCACATGCCCTGATCAGCTCAAAGCAAGGGGTGGAACTTTAATGACACACTGGACTATAGTGAAAAACCACTGTACCTATTCTATACACATCATCATTTCAGGTCTGATTTTAACAAATGTGAGCAAAACACTTTGACTACCATCTGTAAAAAGAATCGAGTCTATATTTTGTTATTCTGTTATTGGTCAATTACTAGTTTGCACTGATTTTAATTTGTATCATTTCATTCATCTGAACGTGAATGTTTGAAATACTCCTTACGCACATTTTTTCTTTTGAGGTACCTGGAAGGAACCTTCGGTTAATTTGGTTCATTTAACACTGAACAGTTAAAGTTCTTCATATTTACCTCAGTGCAAGCTGGGAAATGCTAGTTGGGGGATGGTAACCTCCAATTTTACCTCATTTAAGCATGACATTCTTGAAAACTAATACACTGTGCAGCAGATCATGCACGTTTGCGGCATGCACTGAACTCTTTGTTGCCCAAACCCTTACTTACCAGGTTGCCTAGAAGGATCACTGTTAAGGAATTTGAGCTCTCGAGAAATTACTGTATCACCTTTTATATCCTGTGATTCATTCATTCAGGAAGCTTTTCTTTTGTTCTATAACCAGCACTGCAGAAAATACCAAACATTGAATGGAAATAATGGCTTTTGAAAATTGTGCAGGGCACAGATAAATAAATATTTTTCCTTATTAAGTCCCACATTATAAGGCCTCTTTCTTTTGGTAAATAGCATTCTTTTTGTTTGGAGATGGCTACTTTTCCATGAAATTAAATCGGAGTGAAGGCCCCGAAAGAGGCAAGGCTCCAGTGTGCTGAAACTGCCAGTGCATCAACCGCCAGGGAACGATTTATTTCCTTTTTACAGCACAATCGTATCCATGTCTTTTGCAGTTTCTTCATCCGTGGGGTAGTTACGCCTTCTCAGTTTTTCCCCCATAAACCGGAGTCGGAGTCCCGGTTCTCTTTTCCCCGACCTACTATCAGGTATCAGTGTTTTGAATGCATACTGCTTGTGCATCAGACTTACAGTACTGTCATTAACAAGAAAAGAGTTACAGCCTTGTGCCCCATGACCTCATTCAGTTCATTCACAAATGCCTAAAGCACACTTATCCCAGGTATAAGCCTCGGGATTAAGAACTAGTCAATAAAACAAGAGCGATATAATGGAACTATATCTAGCAAAGCGGCCATCAATGACCGTTTTTACTTTAAAAGAAATAATTCCTTAAATACAGATCTACATCTAAGCTTTTTTTCTTTACAAACAATATTAATCACCATAAGATGATTTATGCAAACTTGCCTCCATTGACTCTCCCATGTGAGCTCTTTTAAAGGGGCATCTACTTTGAACTGTTTTCACATTAAACCAGATTACTTAGCACTACATGTTAAAATCTTGTTTTAAGGTAAATATACAAATAAACTACATTCACAACAAAAACTAGTGGTATTTCTTTGACAAAAGTATTTGGCATAGTTGAAGCCTACTTCCTGATATAAACAAGATAATTTCTTCATCCTGCTGGCTTTTTTCAACTGGGTCTCCCAAGAAAAATGCATATTCTGAAGATTAGAATTAATACCCAACTACCACCTCTTGTCCATGTGGGGAAGGGAGGTAATGAGAGAAAAGGACCAGATGAAATGAACCACAAAGCAGGTAGGAAGTGAGGTGGTTTTTGTTGTTGTTTTTGTTGTTGTTGTTGTTTTTGCTGAGGTGTAGCCCTGGGTTCATTGTTGCTTTCTTGGATCTGAGATATATATTTTTATTCCTATTAAGTAAAATAATGTTATGGTCCTTTTAAAATTACTAATAGACTGCCACAGCTCAAACTCATTCAGGGCCTAGTTTTGATGTTTTCAAAGCAAATCACTTACATGTTCTTTTGGCCTCTGAACATGCCACAGCAAATATATACAGCAATTATTTTAAGCCAGTAGTCTAATTTCCTAACATTCCTACTTGTTAAAGCCACCATTGCCCCTTTCTTATAGTATATTATTTAGTTTTACCACAACATTAATGAGTAGTAGAGTAGAGAAAACACAGACTTGGGAGACAGGCCTGAGTCAGATAAGAAGAGTTCAGTCCCCCAACTGCTTTAAACTTGGGTAGGTTACTTAACCCTCAGTTTACTCATTAGTAAAACGTAGGAAACAATACCTATCTATTAAGTTTGGAGTGTTAGATCGCTTAGAAGCACCTCACATCGTACCAGGCAGATAATAGACGTCCAGTATATAATAGCTATTACAGGATGGCAGTAAGAATCTGGTGATGCTCCAGATGCTTGTGTGCTGTATGTACTGTTTAAAAAATAGCTGGAAGGGACCTCGGAGTGTTTCCGAGGTGAGGACAACACTTAGAGTGGCTGCAAAGTCTTATTTACTTACTGAAGTTGATGCGTAGTTCAATTTAGATGAGAAAACACATAACATACTTATTATAATCACCACCATCCATTATGCCAAGCATTTTACATAGTCATTTACAGATGCTATCTTACTTAATCTTCATAACAACCCAATAAAATCGTTACAATTATTACCTCCATTTTACAGGAGAGAAAACCAAGTTACAACAAGCCCACTCAATCACCCCTCCAGTTTCCAGATAAAGCTGAGACAAAAAAGGTGAAACTGATTAGTGTGAGTTCCAGTTAAAAACAGGGACAGCCTAAAGGCTAGGAAGTACTCAAGCTGTCCACATATTAAATGCAGAATACTAAAACCTAAAACCCAGATTTATTTCCCCTTATACATTATCAAAATGTCCTCATTTCTGTAAAGCTTAGAAGTAGAGAGATTGGGGGGACCTGAGTGGCTCATTCAGTTAGCATCCGAGCATCTGACTCTTGATCTTAGCTCAGGTCTTGATCTCCTGGTCGTGAGTTCAAACTCCACACTGGGCTCCATGCTGGGCATGGAGACAACTTGAAAAAAAAAAGTAATAAGGAGATTGACTAGGGGGAAAACCTCTAAAGAATAAAAGATACAAATGTGTATGAAGAAAGGCAAGAAGCATAATACACAGTGCAATCCCTGTGGTCTCAGGGCTGACACCGGTCCTAAGTGGCTCTGGTGGGCAACTGGAAAGTTGAGGCTTTGGCAAGGGGAACCCTCTGGGTCAAGAGAACAACTGGCATGGAGAGGATTTACAGTAGGGCTTCAGGCCAGGCTCTACAGGGCTCAGCAGACTCTGGCTTATTGCTCTCAAACATTTCTTTACTACTAGAGCCAAGCTTATGGCTGACCACCTGCGATCCCCAGGGTTCTCTTTGCAAATCCCTGCTCAATTCCTAATGCTGCCCTCCTTAAATCCTTGCTATTGTTACTCACTCCAGCTATCACTTCTCTGTGTAACTCCTAATCCTCTTTAAAATGATATATTTATACCTCAGCAGCTCAGCGGTATTTAAGGGCAGGTCACGGGCAACTGACCCACATGAAAAAAGCCAATTGAATTTTAGACTCCTTGGCCAGAGGCTAAATCAAGTTATATTTGATTCATTTAGTTAACTTGAGCATGGGTGCCGTACTTTTAGTGACGACTCAGTGTTGCTTAAATATCGATAAACACGAAGAGATAGGGATGACACCATGTTCACACCCAGCCAGTTAAAATGCTCATGGTACAGAGCCATAGGAGCTGCTGGGCTACATGATCTTCAGGGCCTCTCCCAGTTCTAAAATACCATTGCCATTTCCCTTCCACAGCTACCTGCTAACCCAGGCAGGAGGGTTGAATTCCTTAATTCAAAGGAATTAAGGGAGTTCTGTAAAATTTAAGGAGTAACAGCCTGCTTCCCCCTCTCCCTCTGCCTGCCTGCCACTCCCCTGTTTGTGCACTCTCACTCTCTCTGTCAAATAAATACATAAAATCTAATAAAATGAAGGAACAACAGCTCACATTCATTCAGCACTGACTGCTGAGCACTTTGCTCAGTTACTCAATAAATTTGAATTTTTGTGTGTGCCAAGTACTGTGTTGGACACTGGGCATTCAGTGTATATGGTGAAGTCCTCTCCTCAGGGATCTTAGACTCTGGTGGAGAAGACAGAATAAGAGGAGAAAGAATAAGATTCAATTACGCTTTATGAAGCAAATAGAAGTGTCAGAATTACTTGAGTTGTGGTTGGGAAATTTCTCTCTGAGGAGGGAAGAGTGTCAAGAAGACAGCCATGTGAAGCCACTGGGAAAGAACAACCGAAGCAGCAGGAACAATAATGGTGAGGGCCCCATGAGTTTGGTGTGTCCGGGTACGAGGGCAGAGGAACGTGAAGAGTAGGCAAAGGCTAGATTGGGTAATGCATCATGACTGTGGAAAGGAGCATGGATTTAAATTCTGGATGTGAATTGGAAGCCAAAGGAAGGTTTGGAGCAGGAGAGTGACAGATCAGATTTATGCTTTACAACACACTACTCTGGCTGCTGGGTATGGACTGTATGTAAAAGGGGGCAGAAACACCCATTAGGACCTACTGCAGGGGACCAGGTGTGAGCATATGGCCTGGACAAGAGATGCAGTCATGGGCAATGATGAGAATTGGTTGGACTCAGAATATAGTTTGGAGGTGGAACTGATGCAATGGCCTACTGGTAGGTTGAAGTGAGATCTAAGAGAAGAGTGAAGAATGTCTCCTAGTTTTTGGCCTAAGCAACTAGATACATGGTAATGCTATTACTGAGGTGGAAAAGGCTTGAGAAAAAAAAAAAAAGGAAAAGGCTTGAGGAGGGATCTAAGGAGGAAATCAGGAGTCTGGTTTTGGCTTTGCCACATTTGCAATGAGTATAGAGTCTGATAGGCAACTGGGTTCATAAATCTGGCATTCTAAGGAGAAGTTCGGGCTGAAGTTAAATATTTGGAAGCTATCAGCCTACCAATGGTATGTAAAGTAGGGGTGAGTGAGCTCACCTGGGGGGCAATATGGGAAGGTGAGAAGTGTACCAGTGACAAGCCTGGGTGCCTCAAGCATGAAGAGATTTGTTCAACAGGAGGAGGTGCTGAAAAGGAGATGAGCAGTCAGTGAGGTTAGAGTGAAGTCAGAAGAATGTGGGTTCTTGAAACCTGGAGTGTTTGAGGAAAGAACTCATTGGTGGGACTGGGATAAATCTGTTGGCAGATTAAGAAAAGTGGGTCATTGGTGACCACCTCTCCGTGCAGTGACAAGGATGAGCATCCAACTGGAGTAAGCTGAGTGAATAAGAGGATGCAAAACAGTTTTGAGAATGTTCAGTTATCCATTGCTACCTTAAAACACCCAACACTTAGTAGCTTCAGTGACACTTTGCACACAAATTGCAGCTCCGTCACAGTTCTGTGGAGACAACACTCCATTTGGTATCAGCTGCAGTAGCCAGAACACGGGGGCTGGAGGTATCTGCAGAGTCACTCATCTGACACTCTCGGTGATTGAGGCTGGCTGCTAGCCAGAACCCCCGCAGGTGCTCTTGCCTTCCCACAATACAATGCTAGGCTCCTAGGGCAAGTTCTGAGAGAGAGCCAGGCGGAAGCCCTATCACCTTTGATGGCTGAGCCTTGCAAGTGACTTTTGCCTATTCTCTTCAATGAGTAGGCACAAAGTTCCATCCAGGTTGAAGAGAAGGAGAAATAGATTCTTCCCCTTGATGGGAGGAATGAGTGAGGCCCAGTCTGTTGCTGTGCCGTTTTTGGAAAATAATGTCTTCCACAAAGTGTTTTGTTATAAGAGGAACGAATATTAAGACTGCAGCTGGAAGAGCCAATAGGTTGCAGTTGGTGCACAATGCCTAGGGCCTGCAGGATTTTAAATTTCTTTTAAATGTCTAATTTCATTCAAAATCAGAAGAAATAATAAAAAAGAACAGTCCAGGCTGGATTATGTTCATCTGCAGACCAATGAGTAATAAAATATTCTTAATTTTTATTTATTTAACATTTATTTACTTAATATTTCTCTTATAACCCATGAAGACAAAAGTATATGAGTGTATGGGCCCATTGGAAGGATCCCATAATGGGATCCTGAATGTAGAGTTAAGGAAGGACTTTTGTTTCATTTTAATAAAGGTGATATTAAGGCGGTCCGCAGGCAGGAATGATCCAATAGAGGATGATAAACCGAGGATGCAGAAGAGAAAGGGAATAATTTTGAGATTGAAGTGCTTGGGTAGCTAGAGAAAGAGGAGACCTAGCAGAGCAGCGGACAGGTGGAGAAGGAAAGAGACACTGCCTCCATTGACCCAGGAAGGGGGCAGAGAACGTGGGCGGTGCAGAGACATCTCCCGTGAAGATGAAGTGGTCATCTGATGCACCCGTTTCTCTGTGAAGCAAAGTTTGTGACAAAGCCAACCGCTGAACATGGGAGTGCATGGAAGGTTTGAGGGCAGGCGGCTTGTGGAAAAGTAATCTCAGGAGGAGCAGAGTGACATTAGCAGGCAGGAGCATGTAATACTGTTGCCTCCTGGGTGCAGGTGAGCTGTTAGTGACTGGTTAGTGACTTTTAGCCAGGGTCAGGTGTTACCAACTGAGTAGTTAGAGGGAGAGAGGGGCACAAAGGTCAAGGTTATGGCAGAGTGCTGGGGTGCGGATAAGAAGGAAAGCAAGTGAAATGATACATTAAAAAACAGATGAGGGCAGCCCCGGTGGCGTAGCAGTTTAGCGCCGCCTGCAGCCCAGGGTGTGATCCTGGAGACCGGGGATCGAGTTCCGCGTAGAGCTCCCTGCATGGAGCCTGCTTCTCCCTCTGCCTGTGTCTCTGCCCCCTGCCCCCCACTCTCTCTCTCTCTCTCTGTGTCTCTATGAATAGATAAATAAAATTCAAAAAAAAATAACAAATGAGCAGGTTGCAGGTCTCAGGCTGGTGCACTAGTGGGTGAAGGTGTTAGGGAGTGAGCTGGAAATGAATATTTCAGAGGTGGTTTAGAAATGTGTGATTGCAAGACCTGCAGTGGTGGTGCCCAAACTTCAGCATACATTGGAAGTGTGCGGAGGACTTGTTCAAACACATTGCTATGCCCATCCCCAGGGTTTTTGGTTCATCAGGAGAGGTGGGGCCTGAGACTTGGCATTTCTAACAAGCTCCCAGATGCCATAGCTGCTAGTCCAAGAGGCCACAGTGAATGGGACGCCAGGGTTGGGTGGAAGAAAAGTTCTCTGGAACAAAGGAGGTTGGGAACCTCCAAAGGCGGAGTGTGGGATAGATCCGCTCTCCACCTGGCTGTGGAAGTTACCAAGCTGGTGCTCTGAGAGAGAGTGGTGAAGCCACCAGTGAATGATGGCAAATGGATTGAGTTAGAAATGGCTTCAAAGGGACTAGCATTTTTGAGGCAGAAAAGAGAAAAAGTGGAGGCAACAATTAGGAGCAGAGAAGTAACTGGCCCTACTCTCTTGACCCCTACAGATGTGGGAGAAAAAATCCATGAGTGCTTGAATGGATGACAGAAGGTGGGGTTCCTACTTCAGGAATGGCAAGAACTTAGAACTTCAAGAGATTAGGGATGTATGGTGGCAGGGGGATATGTGAGAGCAGGGGTCAGGCCTGGAGGCTTATACAACACTTGAACGTAGAGCCAACAGAAGACAGGCAGTGTTACCTGAGATTGTAAGATTCACTGGAACAGTTGCTCCTAAAACCTAGAAAAGTGTATCAGATTGGTTTCATTTTTTTTAAAGATTTTATTTATTTATTCATGAGAGACAGAGAGAGGCAGAGACCTAGGCAGCAGGAGAAGCTTGAAGCGGTACTCAATCCCAGGACCCAGGATCACAACCTAAGCCGAAGGCAGATGCTCATCCTCTGAGCCACCCAGGTGTCCCTTGAAGATATCATTTTAATATTACCTTAAAATAAGCACAAATATATCATTGATTAAAAAATAAATTTGCAGGGCATTCAGTGTAAAAAAGCAAAAGCCTCAGAGAGTTCAAGCCACTCGCCCAAATCCTTCTCAAGTATTCATGCTTAGGAGAGAAAGTAGCCACAGCCCTGTCTCTCGGTCTTGGGTGAAGAGTGTTGGAGGGAAGCATTTGTACTTTAAATTGGAAAATGGAACATTTCCAAGACTCAAGGGTGTGACTTGCTGGGCCTAAGTCACATCATAGATTCTGCTGATTCTCGTTGGACCAGGTGGAGGAGTGAGGCCCAGATCGCCAGCGGCTTCTATTTGTTGGGCTAGGAGTTGGTCTTGCTCCCTCTCTGGACTTTGGAGTCTGTGTCTCCAGCATGGTGTCCAACTAAAGGACTAGGGGGCATGTGTGAGATAGTAGCGTGTCAGTTTCCTGCCCCTCCCCTTCAGGATCTGCTGGGGAGGCTTAGTTGCATGGTTGTCGAGACTGAAGGGGAGGGGTGAGGCTGGGGGAGCTTAGCTGACTGGAGGTCAGACCTTCCAGAGGAATCTTCTAATGATCTTAGGGCGCTTAGCTGGCCTGGTCCCTCCCCCCACCCCCCTGCCACCTGCCCCCTACCCTGCCTGTCCTGTTCAGTTGCCAGGAGATGGTGAGGAGGCTGGCTAAGTAGAGGGGAGGCAGGAAGTGACTGCAGGCCTAAGGCATCATCCACAGCAGCCCAGAGGAGGCGCGGACCCTTGCTCCTTGACATTGCTCCAGGCCAGGATGGGGCAGCAGTTCAGCTGGGAGGAGGCGGAGGCGGCCGGCGAGATGGACGTGGCTGAGCTCCAGGAGTGGTACAAGAAGTTCGTGGTGGAGTGCCCCAGCGGCTCTCTCTTCATGCACGAGTTTAAGCGTTTCTTCAAGGTCACGGGCAATGAGGAGGCCACCCAGTATGTAGAGGGCATGTTCCGAGCCTTCGACAAGAATGGGGTAAGGAGGCGCTTAGAAGGGAGGACGCCTGGCTAGTCTTGCTGGCTCATTCCCTATGGAGCTGAAGGAGCATCACTGGTGGGAGGGAGCCCCCAGTCCCTGGTCCTCTGGCTCTTTTCTCTCCATTCCCTGCTCACCTTTTCTCTCTCTTTCCCCCAGACTCCTCTCTTTCCATTATTCTGTCCCTTCCCATCTTTCCTTCCCTCCTCTCTGTCTCACCCTCTCTCCCCGTCTCCCTGCTCTTCCTGAACACCTAGTCTTCCCCTGCTGAGAGCCAAAAGTAGGCTGGGCAGAAGGGCAAACAGGTCAATCCTCAATTTGTGTATTTTTGGCCAAGGCTCTACAGCCTCGGGACTCAGCTTTTCATACCTTCTAGAGCCCCTGTCACTTTAAAGATCAGGAGCTAAAGAGCTGTCCCAAAGGGATGAACTATCTTGGCCTAGACCCTGAGCTCTGCCTCATTGGGGGCCTTGGAATTAAGACCAATCAGGTCTTCCCACCCAGCATCTTGGGGCAGCTGGAGGGGGCCTCCTGTGCTGATGCGGGCACGGGATGGACTATGCAAAACTCCCTTCCATGTCTTCAAGCCCTGGAAGATCTTGTGAAATCATATACCCATGGGGTTTCTTTAAGCCCCCCAATGGCTCCTGCAGCTGAGAAGATACTATGTTTTTGTATGTACGCACCTGGAAACTGAATTTAGAAATGGAAACCCCTTCATTATGTAAGGTCATCCATCCAGTGCCTCCAAGGTCCTTTAAATCATTAAAATTGCCTCAAGTAACTATTTCGGCCCCCCAAAATTGAGGGAAGGGTGTTGGATATAGATAACTGATCTGGAGAAAGCCTCTATACTCCACTTCTCCAGGTGTGGAGTGGCAAGCTTCACTCTCCAGGCTGAATCAGTGCTCTTCAGGTCTGACCTTGTCCAGGGACCATTAGCGCACATCTCCTCCGCACCTTTGTGGGGGGTGGGATGGGAGGGTGGGCTCAGAGTCCTCAGGGCACCAGAAACCTCTAAGGATGACCCCTGTGAACTCCCTCGCAGGGCACAGAGTGAGCCTTCAGACTTTGCCAAGCTCCTCCTCTGCTCCCTCCCCTCTAAGCCCACCATAGCCCACTTAATTATCCAAATTAAGTGACAAAACAACCAGAACAAAAAGAAGTGAACTGATTTACCCAAGATCATATACAGAAGGGTCCTGACTCCCAGACAAGCGTACCTGCTTAGAAGGCAGTTTGGTTTGGGTTTTGTTGGTTTGGGTTTTTGTGGTTTTTTTTGTTTTTTTTTTTTTTTAGAAAGAGAAAATGTTTTGTTTTTTTAAGATTTTATTTATTTATTCATGAGAGAGACACACAGAGAGAGAGGCAGAGACAAGGGCAGAGGGAGAAGCAGGCTCCATGCAGGGAGCCCAATGTGGGACTCCATCCCAGGATCCTGGGATTACGACCTGAGCCGAAGGCAGACGCTTAACCACTAAACCACCCAGGCGTCTGGAGAAATGATTAAAAAAAAAAAAAAAAGGTCAAATGTGACGAGACTTACTATTATAAATATATCAATCTTCCCATATTCATCTAAAAATTCAGTACAGTGGGGCACCTGAGTGGTTCAGTCAGTTAAGTGTCTGCCTTTGGCTCAGACCATTGATCCCAGGGTCCTGGGATTGAGTCCCTTGTTGAGCTCTCTGCTCAGTGGGGAGTCTGCTTCTCCCTCTCCTGCTTCTCCCCCTGCTTGTGCATGCGCATGCTCTCTCTTGCTCTGTCTCTGTCAAATAAGTAAATAAAATCTTTTTAAAAAATAAATTAAAAATTTAAAAATGAAAACTCAGTATGATAACAATTCAAGATCCAAAAGGGACTGATTGTCAAGCTTGTGGGCATAATATAGCTGTACCTCTTATACCTCATCTCTTCTTAAAAATTAGCACAAGATAAACATCGATTACTTTTTTCTTTTTCTTATAGCTTTTATCTTGATAGGAATTTAAGTTTATACCAAGTTGAAAGAATAGTATAAGTGACTCTTATGTACAGTTTATCCTTTCTCCAGTTGTTCACATTTTACCCCATTTGCTTTATCACTGTGTGTCCCTCTCTTTTAGAGAAAGTTGGAGACATCATGCCCTTTTACCACACATTTCAGTGTGCTTTTCCTAAGAACAAGGACATTCTCTTAAATAACCTAATACAGAGATCAAAATCAGAAAATTCAGGGACTCTTGGGTGGCTCAGTTGATCAAGCACCCAACTTGGTTTCGGTTCAGGTCATGATCCCAGGGTCAAGAGATCGAGCCCTGTGTCAGGCTCCATGCTGGACATGGAGTCAGCTCCCCTCCATGTGTGTGCCCGTGCTCTCCTCTTAAAAGATTGCCTGCTTTCTTTTTTTTCTTTTTTTAGTCTAATCACATTGCATTTACTTGTCCTATCTTTTCAGTCTTTAATTCTGAATCTTTATTTTTTAAATTTATTCATGAGAGAGACAGAGAGGCAGAGACACAGGGAGAGGGAGAAGCAGGCTCTCTGCAGGGAGCCTGACGTGGGACTCGATCCCGGGACTCCAGGATCATGACCTGAGCCAAAGGTAGACTCTCAACTGCTGAGCCACCCAGGCATCCCTTTAACTCAGAATCTTTAGTCTCAGCTTTTCTTTGTCTTTTTGACCCTGACATTTTTGAAGATTGCAAGGCAATTAATTTTGTAGAATGTCTCACAATTTGGGTTTTTTCAGTGTAGTTTTGTGATTAGCTTCAGGTTTTCCATTTCTGGCGTTGATGTCCCAGACATGATGTCATGTGCCTTCTCAGGGCTTCCTGTCAGGGGCACGTGATGTTGGTCTGTCCCATTGCTGGGTGGTTAACTTCTGTCATTTGGTTGCATGGTGTCTGCCAGGTTTCCCCACTATAGAGTTATCATTTTTCCTTTATAATTAACAAGCATCTTATAGGGAGATACTTTGAGACTAAATAAATATTCTGTGACTCCACAGATTTTCCTCTGCTAGGCTTGGCATCCATTGATAATTTTCTAATTCTACCATCAGTTCCTTGTTTATTCATTGGAATCCTACAATGAAGAAAGAGCTTTCCTACACGTGTGTTAAGCTCCTCTATCAGGAACTTTCTTCTTTTCTTTCACCACATAGTCTCTGTCTCCAAACCCATACTCATTTCCCTCCCTGCATTGGCACCATCTTTCCATGAGTGAGTCTCATTTCTGGGCAATTGGGCTGAACATTGTGAGGCAAATAAGATCAAGAGTTCATAGACCTAGCTCACATGTCAATTCTGGGGGGGCTGGGGTGGAAATGGGGGGTTTGGAGGAGGCAAGGAGGTCAGCGCCTGCCTCTGAAAGTTCCTCTTTCTCGTAACACCCTTCTCTCCAGCAGTTGGCCTTTGACTCACTGGGATGGAAGAAAGGAGAGGGAGAAATCAAATGTCGTCTGGGATCCTTATGTAACCTGCTGTAGGGTCAGGGTTGGGGTGCATATGCAGCCAGTTCTGGGAGAAGTGGGGCAGATAATCCCACAGAGCAGCTCACACGCCTGTCACTTCTGCTCCTGTTCTCGAGTCGACGGGCATTTCCATCATCTTCCCATTGCCTCTGTGAGTAATTGAAGCTGACGAGGGCTGAAGGCCTAGCACAGGGGATGAGATTAGTCCCAGCTCGGAGCTTTCCAGGACTCGTGAAGGATGAAGCAACCTTACAGGTGAGGTCACTCCTCAGGAAGGGCTGCTCTACAGTGTGCCTCACGGGAGCCAAGGGCTCTTTGTGGTACCCTCAGGCACAGGGAGGATGTTGTGAGAACAGAATGTTCTAGACATAGAATGTGGGAGAATCTATAGATCTGGAGGGTAAGGATTTGTTGGTGGTTTTGTTTTTTTTGTTCTTCTCTCCGTGGTGCTAGATACAGAGGCTCATTTTTCAGACAGTAATAGACCTTGAGGGGAGAAGGAAAGTTCTCCAACTTGAACTAGAGAAGACTTATAGCTTGAAAGGCTCTGCCACTTCCTAGGTGGGTTTTCCTTGGGCAACCTATTTAACCTTTGAGCCTCAGCTTCCTCATCCATAAAGTGGGTATAACAAACCTGAGGGAGTTGACAAATGTGATATAGATGGTGCCTACCAGCCATTTTGGATACATTTTTCTACTCTTATTTTATTTCATTTTATTTTATTTTGTCTTTTTGTTTTTTTAAAGATTTATTTATTCATGAGAGACACAGAGAGAGGCAGAGACACAGGCAGAGGGAGAAGCAGGCTCCCTGCAGGGAGCCCTATGTGGGACTCGATCCCGGGTCTCCAGGATCACACCCTGGGCCAAAGGCAGGCGCTAAACTGCTGAGCCACCCGGGCTGCCTTCTACTCTTATTTTAAAAGAAGCATAAGATTGATTTTTAGTAACCTTAATAAATAATGACTAATGAAAATAGCCTTTTAAAGAACGAACAACCAGTCATCACGTTGTATACCTTAAACTCACATAATGTTCTTTAAAAGGCTAGTCTGCAATTATATCTCAATAAAGCTTGGTGAGGGTGGTTGGAAACAAGCCAAATAACCTTCAGTGAGTGAGTAGAACAACGAGGACCATGCAGTGGAGGACCACTCAGCAATAGCAGGGCAGGACGTGTTGATACACTCAGACTTGGATGGGTCTCCAGGGCATTGTGCTGAGTGAAACCAACCAATCTGACAGCTACATACTGCGTGATCCCATTTGCATACCATTCTCCAGGTGAACATACTGGAGTATTGTGCTGGAGAAGAGATCAGTGGCTGTCAAGAGTTATGGTCAGAAGAAGGATATGACTATTTACACAAGAGAATGTTCTTTTTTTTTTTTACAAGAGAATGTTCTTGTGTTGATAGTTACTCTTCTCTACACATATGGCCAAATCTCACAGAACTATAGAATTACAAATAGTACATTAAAGACTAGGGGAAGGGGCAGCCCGGTGCTCAGCAGTTTAGTGCTGCCCTTAGCCCAGGGCCTGATCCTGGAGACCCGGGATCGAGTCCCATGTCAGGCTCCCTGCGTGGAGCCTGCTTCTCCCTCTGCCTGTGTCTCTGCCTCTCTCTCTCTGTGTGTGTCATGAATAAAAATTAAAAAAAAAAAGACTAGGGGAGGGACGCCTGGGTGGCTCAGCAGTTAAGTGTCTGCCTTCAGCTCAATGCGTGATCCTGGTGTCCCATGATCAAGTCCCGCATCAGGCTCCCTGCATGGAGCCTGCTTCTCCCTCTGCCTATGTCTCTGTCTCTCTCTCTCTCTCTCTCTGTCTCTCATGAATAAATAAATAAAATCTTAAAAAAAAAAAGACTAGGGCAGCCCCGGTGGCGCAGTGGTTTAGTGCTGCCTGCAGCCCGGGGTATGATCCTGGAGACCCGGGATCGAGTCCCACGTCGGGCTCCCTGCATGGAGCCTGCTTCTCTCTCTGCCTGTGTCTCTGCCTCTCTTTCGCTCTCTCTGAATAAATAAATAAATAAATCTTTAAAAAAAAAAAGACTAGAGGAAAAAACAAAACAACCATTGCTAAGAACCTGCCTTAAAAAAATTACCAGAGATACAAAAAAATATCGATACACAAAGATGTTCATTGTGTAGTATAAAATATTAAAACTGTGTTCAGCAAGGACTGCAGAATACCCCTCAAAAAATAAAAGGTATGATTTCAAGTAGTTTTATTTTTTATTTTATTTTTTTAAAGATTTTATTTATTCATAGAGACACAGATTGAGAGAGAGAGAGGCAGAGACACAGGCAGAGGGTGAAGCAGGCTTGTCTTGTTTCCTTCTTGGTTTTTCCATAGGCTTTTTCTATTTACCTCATTTTGTGTCATATTCTGTTGCTCACACCTTGTTCACTCAAGCACCCCATGATCCGGGTGTGGGGCTCCCAAGCATATGACCCAGTGGAACAGAGGTGCTCTAGGCCAGCAGTGTCATTTCCCACTACAAAGCCCTGTGCATGCCAGCCATCCTGAGGGAGCAATGACTCAGGTTCTGGCTTCAGAGCCTTGAGGTCCCCACCCTCACAAGACAGGAGTGCCTATAGGTGGGAATGCTGGGTGAAGCTCAGCCTGATTAGCCCCCTGTAGGCACCATGGCTGCCAGCCTCTCACCTCCAACTTGGTGTAGAAGAACAAGAAGTGAATGTTCCCTCTCCCTCTGGTTTATTGCTTTTGGAATCACTGTCACATTTTTTAAAAAAAGATTTTATTAAAAAAAAAAGATTTTATTTATTCATGAGACACAGAGAGGCAGAGACAGGCAGAGGGAGAAGCAGGCTCCATGCAGGGATCCCGATGCAGGACTTGATCTCCGGACCCCAGGATCACGACCTGAGCTGAAGGCAGATGCTCAACCACTGAACCACCCAGACGTCCCTCATTGTCACATTCTTATTAAGAGTTTTGGTTACCTGGTCGGAGTCACCCCACAGAGGTGGACTCTGTCTCCTTCTCCCTCTGGGCGGTTAACCCCTAGGTTCCATCTCCCCTACCCCTTCCTGGGTGGGGGTGGAGGAGGCCTGTCCTTCAGGGAGGCTAATGTTAACCAGGGCCTAGATGTGAGGGAGCCAGAGCCCCTGCCTGCCTGCCTTCCTCGGGCTCAGAGTGAGTGAAAGGATAAAGGACATTTTTAGGGTGAGCACTGCTTTCTAATCTTCCAGAACTGCCTGTATCCCAAATTCAAATTAAACCAATCATTTATTCATTGATTCATAAATATTTATGAGACCCTGACTCTGCACAGAGGTGGCGCTGGGCTGAGGACAAAGGAGAGACAAAGGCAAAGCAAACCCCTCTTTTCTCCAGGAGTATATAATACAGCTGGACAAAGAGACATACATGCGAAACAGCTAAGTGACACCAGAGTAAGACCCAGACTGTGCAGAATAGAGTACAGGTGCTGGAATGCTAGAAGAGTGAGCGAGAGACCGCTGTAGCTGAAGGGGTGGGAGAAGGAAGGCTTCCTGGAGGAGGGGCCCCTTGAGTTAGTCCTGGAAGGTCGGGTAGGATTGGGTGATTCCAGACCAGGCAACGGTGCTAGGGTGAGGAACAGCCATGAGCAAAGCCAGAGAGGCCACGAGGATGGCCAGGCCCAAAGCCCTGAGTTCTTAGGGATGGATGGCCCAGAATCAGGCCCATAGCTCTGCTCCAGGGAAGGCGGGAGGGGCCTCACAGCTGCCGCTCCCCTCCTACAGGACAACACCATTGACTTCCTGGAGTATGTGGCAGCCCTGAACCTTGTGCTGAGGGGCACACTGGAGCACAAGCTCAAGTGGACCTTTAAGATCTATGACAAGGACCGCAATGGCTGCATCGACCGACTGGAACTGCTTGACATTGTGGAGGTGAGTGGCTGCCCCTGGCCCCTGGAGTGGGGACCCCTGGGGCTGTAAGGGGCAGCACTGGAATCATTCAGAGGGTGCTTTCTGACCACAGTCAGAATTAAGCTAGAGATCAATTACAAAATGATAGAGGCACCTGGATGGCTCAGTAGGTTGAGCATCTGCCTGTAGCTCAGGTCATGATCCCGGGGTCCTGGGTCGAGTCCCGCATCAATCTCACTGCAGGGAGTCTGCTTCTCCCTCTGCTCATTCTCTCTCTCTCCCTCTCTCCCTCCCTCCCTCTCTCTCTCTCTCTCTCAAATAAGCAAATAAAATATTTTTTTAAAGATATCTAAAAGAGGGCAGCCCAGGTGGCTCAGCGGTTTAGCACCGCCTTCAGCCCAGGGCCTGATCCTGGAGACCGGGGATTGAGTCCCACATCGGGCTCCCTGCAGGGAGCCTACTTCTCCCTCTGCCTGTGTCTCTGCCTCTCTCTCTCTGTGTCTCTTATGTATAAATAAATAAAATCTTAAAAAAAAAAGATATCTAAAAGATCCCCATCTGTTTGGAAATAAGGCAATACACTCCCAAAATATTCCAGAAATCGTACAAATTATATCACACACATACACGCGCCAAGTGTTTTGAACTGAGTAATACTACAGATGTAACGTAACCAAACTGGGGACTGTAACCAAGGCTGGGCTTACAGAGGCTTTCTGTAGCCTTAGAGTGCATGTGCTGGAAGTGAGAGGCAGGAAATAAATGATTATAGAAGTCATCTCAAGAAATTAGAAAAATGAAGAGTAAATTAAACCCAGAGAATAGAAGAAGGGAAATAAATACTATAAGGCAGAAACTAATGAAATAGAAAAACAAGCACACGGAGAAGAGAAGTCAACAAAACCAAGACCTGGTTCTTTGAAGGACTAACCAGGCTGATAGATGATTAGCAAGAATAAACAAGGAGGAAAAAGTCCTGCCAACTGACTTCTGACCCCTGACCTGGGTCAGCCTGTTCCTCCCTAGAACTGTGCTCTCAGGTGGCGGTGGTCCATCCATGACACAGATATAGAAGTGGCCTCAGGGCAGTTCTGTGGCTTGCCCAAGCTCATCCATCCCAGGAACGTGTTGGGGCTGGCCGTGGTCGGTGGGGCCCACCGTGTCCCAGACTCTGTGCTGGGCAAGGAGGCCCTGGGGGCCACAAGATTGTGGCTGCAGCTTGGTTCCTTCCCTCAGGCGATCTACAAGCTGAAGAAAGCCTGCAGGGTGGAGATGGAGTCTGAGCAGCAAGGACAACTGCTCACACCTGAGGAGGTGGTGGACAGGATCTTCCTTCTGGTGGATGAGAACGGAGATGGTAATGGGGGAGCGGAGATAGGGGACTGCCCACTCCACAGCACCCCCACTTTCTGGCCGTGTGACCCTGGGCAAGGCCCTCCACCTGCCAGCAACTGTCATCCTCAGCTGTGAGCTGGGTACAGAGAGGAGGACATAAAATAACAGGGGTGTCCCTGGCACAGGATGTCCCTAAGAGCGATTTAAACTCCTACTGGAGCTGCTGATGGAGGCCAGGCAGGCACAGTGAAAGAGTAGGGGCTTTTGAGTCAGGCAAACCATTTCACCACTCAGCCTGGACTCAGTTTTCTTATCTGGAAAATGGGGATAATAATGATTTCAAGGAATAAATGGGGCGATATATTTGAGAGATGGGCATAGGGGAGGCCCCCATTAAGGCTACTGAGGCTCTCCTCCCTGTAGCTTGATGCACCAGCCCCAAGGCTGTGGAGGGAGGGAGCAAGCTGGGAACACTCCCAGAAGAGCCCTCAGGAACATTTGTAAGGTACCCCTGGACCAAAGTGAACTTAAATTCATTTGCAAAGCAAGTCCCTTAAACCCTGGAAGGTTCCAGGAGACTTCTGGAGAATGGGAGAATTGACAAGCCCCAGGCTTAGGCCCTGAGACTGCAGGCTCATTTGTATAAGAGGTGTAGGCTAGCATTAGAGGATGCCCCCGCTAGGAGAGGCCTCTCCTCTTGCCCCCACCCCATTTCTTCCATGCTCCCACACTATTTCCCACCCCTTGCTCAGGTCAGCTCTCCCTGAATGAATTCATTGAAGGCGCCCGCCGCGACAAGTGGGTGATGAAGATGCTGCAGATGGATGTGAATCCCGGTGGCTGGATCTCCCAGCAGAGGCGGAGAAGTGCCATGTTCTGAGGAGTCTGGACTAGTCCACAGGCCCCTCCAAGACTCCATACTCGCCAGGTTTCCAGAATAGTGAGAGGGTGCCAGGCCCAGCCTGCTGATGCTCACTCTCATCTGGCACCCACTATGAAAGGGGTTGGGGCCGAGGGGGGTGGATAGGGGTTTTAGTCTGAAGTGACCAGCAAGACACAGTCCCCTGGGAGGAGTTACTGGCGTGGTGAAGGGAAATGGCTTCTCTCCTGCCAGAGGCTTCTGGGGAAAAAATGCTTTGGCTGGGTGGTTGTGGGGCGTCCACAATTTCCTGCATGGTTCATAGCTGGAAGCAGGGGAAGACCGAGAGATGGAGGGGTCCCACAGATCAAACCGGCAATGAGACTGCCCACACAGTGTGAGGCAGCCTGCTAGAAGGCAGGGGGCTAGAAGTCTGTCCGCAAGGGAAAATTGCAGCTAGTAAGGCTCCCGTCTTCCCGGCTGTGCTTAAAGGAGCTGTTTCAGCTCTGCCCTGGTGCTGCTCCCCCAGCCCCTGCTGCCAGCCTACACCCTGACACCACCTCCTCCCCACCTTCCTACCCCTCCACACCGGCCTTTCCAACCCCCACCCCATGGACCTGCCTGCCGGGATTCCCAGCCACAAGCGGGATTCCCAGCCACAAGCCGGTTGAGTCTCCCTGAAGGACAGGGAGACCTTTCTCTGTCTCTGGGGAGAACTTGTTCTAGGCCAGGCTTTGCCTCCAGCTGGTATGGGACCCAAGATGGCCCTTTCTCTCTCTCCCTAACCTCAATGATCTTACCTGCACAGTGAGCAAGTTGGACAAAACAGGCAGTTTTCTGATTATTATGTTTAAATGTGGAATTACTTTGTCATACAAACTTTGTGTGCAACCTCAATGTACAAACTAGATTTCAAATAAAGGGAGTCATTCTGGCTGAAGTTGGCGGGGGTAGGGGGTGGGGTGAGGAACTCAGAACAGGAACTCATTTGAATAGATATGTTTTTATGTTGATGGATGAAAAATAAAACTCACCTACTGAACTGCAGTTTCACAGGCATGATATTAATGTATAAAGTTTCCTTCAGAAATAAATTTTAGGGGTGCACCCAAGTGGCTCACTGGTTGAGCGTCAGCGTTCGGCTCAGGTCATTATCCCAGGGTCCTGGGATCAAGCCACATGTTAAGCTCCCTGCTCAGTGAGGAGCCTGCTTCTGTCTTTCCCTCCGACCTTCCTCCCTGTTTATGCTCACTTGCTCTCTAAAATAAATTAAATCTTGAAAAAGAATTTTTAAAACAAATCTTAGGTAAAAAACAGTTGATTAAAAAATAATTAACCCAGGTGGGACATAGATCTGTCCCCAAGTCATGAAGGTGGTATGTGCCTTGACTTTGGGGAAATGTCCTAATTTTGTTCAAATACCCTCCCACCTCCCACCTTCAGGATTTCCCAAGAGGCAGCCACCAAGAGAAGGAGCAGAAATGTCAACCATGTTTTTCCCTGGCTGCTCCTGGCACTGACCTCCACCTTCCCACCATGTCTGTGCTCAGGCCCTGACTGCCTTGCTGGTCTAGGGTGGTCCCGGTGATGGGTAGGACCCTCTTGTCCCCACCCCACCCCTTGGGGTGAGGAAGGGGCTCTTTGCCAGCTGAGGCTTCATTCCTCTTGCCCCTTGTTTTCTCTCTCCTACCCTTAGATTTTTATTCACTCCTTGTACTTCCCCACACCCAGCCGAAGTGATGACTCAAAGCCCAGAAGAAGGAGCATCTTTGAAAAAATGATCACAACTACCTCGGCCTGTGTGTCTCCCCAAGTTCTTGGACAGGTATTCCTAAAGTTGGGGTGTGCAAAGAATGGGAATGCCCACCCCCTCCAATAGCCTGTCCCACTTCCCAACTGTCAGGTGTCACTGCAGCAAGAGGGATTTAGGTTAGACCAGGGATGGCCAGGACGCTCGCCACAGGCAACGAGTCACAGAGCTGTGGGAAACCACGTGGCACCACAGGCCACTGCAGGGCCAGCAGCGGAAGTATAGGTGCTGTGCAGTCACTTCTGCATAAAAACCGATTTCCTCTGGATAAATGAGGACTTTGTCCAGTACCATAGCTTCTCTTAGCATATTTTATTATAATGATGCTTAGCCTGTTAGTTCCTTACGGATAAAAACTATCCTCTTTTTGGCATGTCCAGTATCTAGCATTAATACAAAGGAGGTGTTCGATAAATGCTTTGTGGAAGGGAGGAACAAATCAACGCACCACAGAAGTAGGCTCCAGGGTGCTGGGTGCAGATTGAGTGTGTGATCAAAACGCCCAGATGGAAGCTGCAGGCCCCCGATCTATAGGATTCCGTCAGAGTCCATGAAAGCCCAGTTCTGGGACAGAGCCCCCTGGCCTAAGAAAGAGTGGGACTGGAGAAGCTCAGTACGGAAAGCTGGGAGAAGCCGGGGAAGGGCTCTGGGGGTCCCCAGCAGGGAGCAGTCACCACCAGCTGAGTCAAGCACAGGGTTCAGGAACCATCCTTCTGGACTCCCACCCCTGCCCTTCTGCCCCGGCCGTGCACCCCAAAGAGGCGACTGTGCCTTTCAGTTCAGTAGACTGGATCTAGTATTACAATGACGACCCCAGGCACCAACACACATCCCCCCCCCAGTACAGAAGGACACTGGCAGTGAGCTCAGCCAGCTGCCTCAGTGCCCCCACCGCCTGCCCTCTCCGCCCCCTCCTCCTCTTGCTCCCCATTCTGGAGCCTTCTCACGATGCGGGTGAGGTCCAGGCTCCGTGTCAGCGTGTCCAGGAGCATCTGGTCCTTCTGGACGCCCTCAATGAACTCCTCCAGGGAGAGTTCCCCTGGGACAGAGAGAAAAGGGAGTCAGGGCAGAGAGGGTGTTCCCTTCCATCTCCTTGGTGGGATCGTGGCGGGGGGCGCGAGCTGGAGTCTTACATGGGGGGCTCAGAGCCAAGACTGAGCGGGTAGCAGGCAAAGGAGCCAGGGACCAAAGTCTGGTCTGGAGGTCCCTAAAATCCAACTCCTGGGGCCAGGGGCAGAGCCCCTTTGTGCCTCCTCCTCCCCTGCTGCCCCGCCCCTGGCAGCCCCCATCTCCGCCTCCTCACCATCCCCGTTGACATCGATCTTGGAGAACACCGTATTGGTGAACTCTTCAGCACTCATGGTTGAGTCGCTGCAGGGGTTAATGGCTCGGATGGCCTGGGGAGAAGAAGTGAGAGGAGCCTTCCTAGCTGGTGCCTGAGCCACCGAGTGGGCACTGGGCACTGGAGACCGTGCTGGGGTGCAAGGGCTTGTGTCCGTACAGGTGAGAAAACAGGCCTAGGGTGCCCAGGTGGCTCAGTGGTTGAGCGTCTGCCTTGGGCTGGGGTCATGACCCCAGGGTCCTGGGGTGGAGTCCCGCATCAGCCTCCCTGCAGGGAGCCTGCTTCTCTCTCTGCCTGTGTCTCTGCCTCTCTCTGTGTGTCTCTCATGAATGAATGAATGAATGAATGAATTAATTAATTAATTAATTAAATCTTAAAAAAAAAAAGAAGAAGAAGAAAGAAAAGAAAAAGAAAAAGCCCCCAAGACAGGATGGCGGGAGGCCCAGGTCTTGCAGCTGCCTCCCCCCACCCCTGCCCCGGACTCACCCTGGGTCCCAATCCTGTCCCCTCCTGAGATCGCAGTTCGCCTGCTGAAGACCCACCCTGCCCACCCGCCCCGCCCTCGCCCTCGCCCTCGCCCTCAGCCTCGGGCTGTGGGCCCTCTGCACCTGCAGTTACCCGGATGATGGTGAGCAGCTCATCGCGGTCGATGCATCCGTTGCCATCGACGTCGTAGAGCTTGAAGTACCAGCGCAGCTTCTGTTCCACCTTCCCCTTGAGGACCAGGCTGAGCGCCGCCACGTACTCCATGAAGTCGATGTAGCCGTCCTGGGCGACAGGCGCCGCCGCCGTGAGCCGCTCCCAGAGGCCGCGCCACAGGCTGAGCCTTCCTGCCCGGAGCCACCCCCCAGCCCCCCAGGCCCCCAGCATTGTGTCCCGCCCGGGCACCCCGCCGGGCCGCCCCAGAGGCCCCAGGTAGCGCTGGTAAACCAGCCCCCCCAGGCTGAAAGGTGGTGCTCTCCCTTCACTGGTATTTTGGTGAACGGGGTCACTGGCTGCTCCCAGGTGATTCTCAAACTGGAGCCCTTCCTGTTGCGAAAAGGTGTGCAGGTGGGGGAAGAGGAACTGAAACCCCACTGCCGGGAAAGGCATGTTTTTCCCAGCTGGGGAGAGGGCAGGAGGTAGATGGGGAGGCAGGGAGCACCCTTCTCCTTCTTCCCGTTCTTCCAACTCTGCTGAACAACTGCTACGCGCCCTGATAGCGGCTTCAGATTTCAGTAGGGTACGGACCCAGTCCTGGTGGGAATGCGGTGTTGGGGCACAGATTTGAATCCTGCCTTCACCCTCTCAGAGCTGTGGGATCTGGGGCAAAGGACTCGATGTCTCAATCTCCTCATCTATACTAGTTATGATAGTACCTACCTCTGTGGGATTGTGGTGGGATTAAGTGAATTTCTTTTTTTTTTAAGATTTTATTTATTTATTCATGAGAGACAGAGAGGTAGAGACACAGACAGAGGGAGAAGCAGGCACCATGCAGGGAGCCCAAGGTGGGATTCGATCCCAAGACCCCAACCTGGGATCTCAGGATCCCAGGATCTCAGGATCACAACCTGGGCTGAAGGCAGCCGCTCAGCCACTGAGCCACCCAGATGCCCCATTAACTGAGTTTCTGGATCTAAAGCACTCAACATTGCCTTGCATACAGCCAGCCCTCAGGAAATGTTAGCTATTACTGTCACTACACTTCCTGTGCTCATTTTTATAATGAGACCACTGTGCCATCACGGTGTAATGCAACGACAACACACCTAGACAGGACAGGATGGAGTCACAGACCAAGAACACACAACTCTGCCGGGGCAAAGGCCAGAGAAGAGGCTTGGGGAGGCTTCCTGGGAAAGGGGTTGACCATGGGAGAGAGTGGCACCGGACCTGCCTGTGGGGTATTTCTCTGGGGTCCCCCAAATGTCACAGGCTGACCCCCTGTTCACCCCTGCCAGCCCCACCAGTGGGGTCAGGGAAACCGAGAACAGAGGCCTGCCTCTGCTCATCTGGCCCCCAAGCCAAGGGAAGCTCATGAAGGGAAGCCTGTGTTGTGCAGAGAGGCTAAGGTAAGGAGCACTGGACTCAGAGTGCGTGAACTTGGAGTCCAGCTCCTGTTCCTCCACTTACTCATGACCCTGGTCCTGGGACCAGGAAGTTACCCAGAGGCACATCTGGGGTCAGAAAAAAGACCTCTGACAGGGAGATTTGCCAGCCTTATGTAGTAATGAGCTCCCTGCCACTGAAAGTATGCAAGCAGGGGCTGGAGCTCGGTTATTAAAGATGTGTCAGAGGCTGGGAAGGATGGCCTCTGAGATTGGGCTGTCCCAGCCCTGGGCCTCAGGTGAGGCCTTGAGGAGCCGCAGCCCCACAGTGGGTGTCATGATCATAGTGAACATTCGCGTGGTGCTTCCCTGTGTTCATAGGCTTTCACGTACGCCTTAGCTCATTCCATCCTTGCCCAACCCAGGCCCGGGTTGTCCTCAGAATAGAGCAAGGCCCCCCCATGCCACAATGCTCAGAGAAGCAAGAGAAACAATCAAGGAGGTTTTCCCTGGGCAAGAGGACACTGGGCAAGGACACAGGGCGAGGACACTTGTGCTTTTCACTTTTTTTGTGTATTGTGGGAAATGTTTACAGCGAGCTGTACAAAATTACTTTTTTTTTTCAAAATTACTTTTATAATTTAAAAAAAAAAGGCTAAAAAGGGGCAATGGAAAAGTAGGGGGCTCTCGCACCAGGAAGAGCTAATTGACATCCTAGGAGAGGTGTGACCTTGGGCAAGTCACGGGGTATCTCTGGGTCTCGGTTCCTCAGCTGGACAGTGGGGAATGACAGTGCCCACTTTTCAAGACTGTGGGACGGGTTAGATTCCGTAGTGATATGCTTTCCTCATTTAATCACACCGCCTGGGAGGTGGGATTTTTGTCCCCATTTTCAGAGGAAAGCTGAAGTTGAGAGGACTTAGATCCCACAACCAACGAACGAGCAAGCCTTGGCTAGAAACCAGGTCTCCTAAATCCTACCTGGCGTTCAGACGCAGAGGTGAAGATTTACATCAATTTGTGTGCACCTGTGCGAGTGCCAGGCATGGCCAAGCCCAGGCAAAACTTTGAAGCAAGCAAAGCACATGCTTACCCCCCTCCCCGCCACACTCAGCGCTCATGCTGCTGCACCCCCAGCCCTGCCCGTCCAGCACAGTCCCCTAGGATCCTACTTGCCTGCTCACTCAGGGGTTGCAGACTTTTTCTGCAAAGGGCCACACAGCAAATATTTCAGTTTGGGCGATGTGTAAACACGGGGGTGGGGTTTGTTCTAATGAAACGTCATTTGTAAAAACAGGCCCACAGGCCATCATTTGCACAGCCCTGTTTGACTCCCCATTCGGAGGGCACCTGGGGGGCTCAGTGGTTGAGCATCTGCCTTCGGCTCAGGGCATGATCCCGGGGTCCTGGGACCGAGTTCCGCATCGGGCTCCCTGCATGGAGCCCGCTTCTCCCTCTGCCTGTGTCTCTGCCTCTCTCCCGGTGTCTCTCACGAATAAATCAATAAAATCTTAAAAAAAAAAAACTTCCCATTTGGGTGTCCCATGTCTTAGCCCATGTGCTCCACTGCTCTGTGCTCAGGACAATGGGTAGAAGGCAACATTGTCCCAAGTGTGATTTATACCATTGGTATAGATGAGGCCCTTGAAAGGTCACAAAGATGCTCTTCATTTTAGTAGTGATGTATTTAAATTTTTAAAAAATTGGGCAGCCGTGGTGGTGCAGTGGTTTAGTGCCGCCTGCAGCCCAGGGTATGATCCTGGAGACCCAGGATCGAGTCCCATGTCAGGCTCCCTGCATGGAGCCTGCTTCACCCTCTGCCTGTATCTCTGCCTCTCTCTTTCTGTGTGTCTCTCATGAATAAATAAATAAAATCTTTAGAAAAAAAATAAATTTTTAAAAAATTTTATTTTTTAATAAAAATGAGAGACACAGAGGGACGTAGACACATAGGCAGATGGAAAAGCAGGTTTCCTGCAGGGATCCCATGTGGGACTCGATCCAGGATCCCAGGATGATGACCTGAGCTGAAGGCAGACACTCAACTGCTGAGCCACCCAGGGTTCCCAGGAATGTATTTAAATTAATGTGTATTATAAAACACATAATCCACCCATAGAACTCATGATTTCTCACATGTTCATTCACTCATATAACAAATACTTGTTAAGCACCACCTACAATGGTCCAGGCACTGTTCTAGGTGCTGAAGATACAGGACTGAACTGGACAGATGAAAAAATCTCTGCCCTTGTGGAGCTCACATTCCAGCAAGGGAGACAGAAAACAAATAGTGTCAAAGTGTTATTTGGTATCATGTCTTAGAAGATGAGACCTGCTCTGGAGTGGGATGATGGGACCAGAAGTGCAGGGGCAGGGGCCAGCCCCAGTTAAACAGGGTTTCAACCAGGACATCTGGGCAGGTGTCAGTGGGATGGAGACTTATAGCAGGGGAAGGTGTGAGCCAAGCAGAATTCTGGAGGAAGAGGATCCCGGTGTGACAAAGGCCCTAAGGTGAAGGCGTGTGTGGTGTAATCAGAGGTCAGGTTTGGGACAGTGGAGGTGGTGCTTGCAAATGCAGGGTTGGTGGGTTGTCCCTCCCTGGTGTCAGACATGTGACTGTAGGGGGTCCTTCTGGAGATGTGTCTTGACCCCAAAGGTTTCCCTAGCAGATGAGAAGCTGAGATATTTTGGTGTGTTGGGGTGTAAGATGTTGAGGCTCAACCATTGACTTTCCTCCTTCTGTTCAGGAGTTATTCCTTCTTCTGGAGCACTGGGGGCTCCAGCAGAGAGATAACCATCCCTTCTGGTCTCCATGCCACAGGCTCCAGTATTCTGTTCCCCCACAGCTCCTCCAGGAAAGTCAGTGGGCACCAGGATGCTGCCCTTGAGCTTGGGACCCAAAGCCCATAATCTGCTTTGGCCCTTGACCCTAAATATTAGTGAGTTTTAAATAGCCTCTGAGCCCCAGCTATCTTTAGAAGCCCTGGGCACAGTGGTGTTTGGACTTCTGGGCAGCAAGGGGGGCCGGGAAGGCTCTGGGCAGCCTCTCCCTGGCTGGAGGTGGACTCAAGGTAGAGCACTGTCACATCCTGTGCTTCAAGTGAGCGCCAGCAGGGGGGTGGGGGGGTGCCCAGCTGGGTGGGGAGACTGGTTCAGAGACTTGGGTCCTTCTACCACTGCATCTTGACTCAATTGCTCCAAATAAATGGAAAATTTGCTCTTGAAACCAACAGACATCTTAACTCATGCTCTCACCATCCATGGCAGGTGTGGGTACTGAGCTGAGGATGGGGGAGATGCTGGGCACAAGGCCACCCAGCGGATGAAAACTCACTGTGCTCAGCTCCTTGTGCAGCCTCTAGCTAACCAGGAGGTCCTCACCCAGTGTCCCGGTGATTGCACAGGGAGAGTACAACTTGACCACCATGCAGACCTTCAGACCCACTTGAGAGAAGGTGAGCTGAGGTCACTGGACACTTTGGAGTTGGGAGGAACCTGGACGTCCCAGCGACCAGGCAGCCTTGCCTATCACCAGAGCATCAGAAGTGACCACAGAGCATCAGGGACGAGCCACATAAGAAGGGCCTGCCTGTGCCAGGCCACCAGGAAATGGAGGCTTCTCACCCTGCTCTCTCCGCTCCACTCCTCCTTCTCCTCCTCCACCCTGTGAGCATCTAAGGGTCTGGGCAAAAGCACCAGGTACAGCACCTGGCACTTAGTAGGGTGCTCGGTGACTGTCTCGTAAGTGTTTGCCCTTGTTCTGGAGTAAACCAAGACATGTGTGTGCAAGAGTCAGGGGAAGCCGTTAGACTGGGCTCCTGCGGACCGCTCTGTCTTCCGCTGGCAAGTGAGGGCACAGAGGGGGCTGGTTCACCTCTGAACCCCTAGTGCCTGACTCACAGTAGGTGCTCAGTGAATATTAGGTCAATTGACTCCCTAACGTAGCCCCAGCTACACAGAGGCACGCTCCCTCCTCCGGCAGACACCACGTCCTGGCACCTGCTCCCCGCAGCCTGTGCGGGCCCGTGCCTCCCGGGGGGGCCCTCCAGCGCCCCCCTCCACCCAGGCCTCTGCTCACTTTGTTGAAGTCAAAGGTCTCGAACATCTGCTCCACATACTGGCTGGCAGACGGGCTCAGGTTCTTGAGGCCGAAAAACTGGCGGAACTCGTAGAGGGTGAGCTGGCCGGAGGGGCACTCGGTCATGAACTTCTTGTACCACTGGTGGCACTCGGTGCTGCTCAGCTCCTCCACCGACTTGCCGTCCATTACATTGCCCATCTCCCGGCCTGTGGGTGGCTGGGGCCCGAGGCGGACGGGTCCTGTGCTCGCCGCCGCTGCACACGGGGCGCTGGGCCTTCTAGCGCTGGGTCCTCCTCACTCACGGGCCAGAGTCCTCCAGAGCTGAGCAAAGAAGGTCTGAGGGATCAAGCAGCGCAAGGAAATGCCAATGCCGGGAGGAGGTGAGCAGAGGGACAAAGGTGATGGGGGGACGTGCAAACCAGGAGATGCCAGAGAACCAGTGTTAAGTCCCCACTAAACCCTTGCAGCCAATGGGAACCGCTCCTAGGAAAGAGGAGTGAAAATAGAACAAAGCTTAGGGAAGCAGAGGCCCAGGATTACAGCCTTGAGCTGATAGGTGAGAGGATTTTCTTACCCATTTTGCAATCTCCTTATCCCTTCTTACCAGGCAGCAGTTGTTCTGATCCTGTTACCTCCATTCCCTTCTCCTGTTTTTGAGTGCGTTCTCAGTGTTTTTGGTCCCTGTCCTCCGATGTGGAATTGAGGTACATAGGAGATAGAGCTGGTTCCTCTTCAACAGCTGGCCCTACTGTGGGCTCCTGACAGGGCTGCTGTGCACAGTTGTCGAGGCTGTGCACTGCACTTGGCCATCACAACTAAGGGGTTCCAGTCACACCATGGATAGTTAATATATGAGAGCACCTGAGTGATGCAGAGTTTGTGGGGTTCCGAGACAGAGTCCTGAGCAGCCAGGGGGAAAGTCCTCCTACCTAACACTGTACAAGTACACATGGCCATGTACACACACTCACTGGTCCTCTTCTTACATTCCTAGGGACTGAATCTTTCTCATCCTGAAAGGCCTGAATTCAACCTTCCATTTGATTCCACACTTGATACCACCGCCTCCCAGGGGCATGGGGATAGGGGACAATGAATGCGTGCCTAGTGGCCTAGGGGGACGTGTGTGTGTGTGTGTGTGTGTGCGTGTGTGTGTGTGTGTGTGAGGGCAACAGCATGCAGGTGCATGGTAAGCTGCTACTGCCTCTCCCAGAAAGTTCCCAGGCCAGTCTTAGGGGCCCATCTGTGATGAGGGTTGTCCCTATCACACAGCACTGTTGTGTTCATGATACCTGTAACTAGAAGGAAGCAGTCAAAATGTTAACAGGGCTCATCTCTGGGTCATGACATCACCAGTGAAATTTTAATCTTTGCTTTTTAAGAATTATCTGTATTTTTTAAATGGTTTCTAGTAAACACATGTTGCTCACAAAAACAGAGGATAGCTATTTTTGAAAAAGAAACCAAACAGGACTGCTTTGCCTCTCCTCTGCCTAAAGTGATGAATGCAGGGTGCACTGGGCAGAGGCGCCCCTTGGGCCTGCCCGCTTCCATCAAGCTGTCTGGGGTGTGTCTTGGATATGGGGCTGGAGGCAGTGGACCTGGGGCCCAGGCTGGCGTCTTTGTCCATGGAGTCCTCTCAGGTTCGGGGTTTGGACTGAAGGCCTCAAGGATGAGGGAACAGCTCATCTTTCCATCACTCCCTATTTACGTCCTCCCTACCCTCCCTCCAGAGCACAAACATGCCCCCCTCTGTGAGGCCTTCTTCCCCAACAGAATTCAGTTTTCTGACCTCAGTGCACTGACAGTTTGCTTATGTGTTATATGAGCTTTCTATGCTGCTTGAACATTACCACAAGGGCAGTAGCTTCCAACTCTACACATTTATTATTCCGTGTCACTGGGGGCCAGGAGTCTGAGCATAGCTTCACTGGTTCCTCTGCCCCAGGTCTCAAGGGGCTGTGATGTCATTTGGACCGTGTTGGCATCCGGAGGCTTGACTGGGGAAGAATCCAATTCCACATCATTCTGGTTGTTGGCTGAATTCATTTCCTGGCTATAGGACAGAGGACCCTGGCTTCTGGCTGGATACAGTCTAGAGGCCGCTCTCAGGTCCTAGAGGCTGCCTGCAGTTTCTAGAAGCAGTCCAAAGTTCCTTGCTACATGGACTCCTCAATGTGGCCACTTATTTCATTGAGCCAGCAGGAAGAATCTCTCTCCAGTCTGCTACAACGGAAGCTTATATAACATAACTAAGCAAGGCAACGCCAACCCATTACCTTTGCCATGTTCTGTGGGTTAGCAGCGAGTCACGGGTGTCCCCCACACTCAGAGGAGGAGGACTGTGCAAAGGCAGGAACAGCAGGAGGTGGAAGTCACAGAAGTCACCTTCACATCTGTGACAACATTCATACTTCTACAATAACATGCATGGTGCTCATTTATTTCTCGAATTATAAGCAGCTGTTCATTGTCAGCCTGTCGGGATGCCTGGGGGGCTCAGCGGTTGAGCATCTGCCTTCAGATCCTGGGGTCCTGGGATTGAGTCCCGCATCAGGCTCCCTGCAGGGAGCCTGCTTCTCCCTCTGCCTGTCTCTGCCTCTTTTTCTGTGTCTCTCATGAATAAAGATATAAAATCTTTTAAAAAATAAAATACAAAAAAATATTGTCAGCCTGTCTTCAGGAACTCCGGGTAGAGGCTGTGTGCCCTGAGCCCCAGGGGGCTGACCCCTGTGGATGGGGATCACTGGGGCTCCTCTGCCCTCTGGGAATTCATCCACTGGGAAGCCGTGGAAGGAGACCAGTAGGAGAGAAAAGGCTGGGTATTTGTTCCCCGCCCTCCCTGCTGGGTCCCAGTTTGGGCCCTGGTTGTTTTCTTCTACCTTCAACCACAGCTCCTACGAAAGCTCCCTCTCTGGGACAGAGCTGCCTCCCTCTACCGCTCAGGCTCGGGAGTCAGAAGGGCTTCCACCTGTGGCCACTCCCCGAGCAGGTCACCAGTCCCTGAGCTATGCTCACTTCTCTGCAAACACTCCCCTCAGGCAACACTCCTCAGTTACCTTTGGAGGGTAACACCTGACAGGGGCTCGAGCGCAGGAAAACATTGAGTGAGTGAATGCGTGCACTCACGATGGAAGGAAGAATTAAAGGCTGAAGTAGGATGGAGCTACCAACCAACGGCCCCTGTGTCCAGGGTGCCGAGCTAAGCTTTCGGAATAGGCTTACAATGGCCCTGTGAGGTGGGATTATTTCCACGTGACACAAGAGGAACAGGGGACAGAAAAATCATCCTGAGTGATGTCTGGGTGGCTCAGAGGTTGTGCATCTGCCTTCAGCTCAGGGCGTGATCCCAGGGTCCTGGGGTCGAGTCCTGCATCAGGCTCCTTGCAGGGAGCCGGCTTCTCCCTCTGCCTGTGTCTCTGCCTCTCTCTGTGTGTCTCTCATGAATAAATAAATAGAAAGAAAGAAAGAAAGAAAGAAAGAAAGAAAGAAAGAAAGATCATTGAGGTTCACAGAAATTCGAAGTGGTGGTACCAAAGTTTTCCATCTCACCACCATACTTTTAACCTAAACCCTTAAATCTCTGAGGAAGGCCCAGGTGGGGGTGGGGGAAAAGCCCTAGGGCTCCTACTCCAACGTCTTCCCTGTGGCCCTTCTGCAGAAACAATTCCAGTGACAGGGGTCTCAAAACCTTTGGATGGGAGCTCCTCATCCCTTTTCTCTGCCCCAAGATGGGAAAGAAGTCCGCCAGCTTCCCAATCCCAGAGCCCAGCTTTTCCCTCTCCTGTGGACTCTCTCTATCCCACTCTCCATTCTCCCAGACATGGTTACCAAGTCAGGAGGGTTGGGATCCATACCGAGGCCTGCAAGAAGAGGTGGACACACAAGAGAGGTACAGAGGGGCAGGGTGGACAGCTTATGCGGTGGACACAGTAGAGAGGCCTGGTGGCTTCCCCAGGCTGCTTTGTCTACAGGAATCCCTCCTGGGACAGGTGCCATAGCAGGTGAGAGGATACACCTGGCCGAATGGTGCCAAGGAGAGGGAGTGTGGGGGGCAGGTGTGCGGAGGTGGAAGCCGGGCTGAGAAGAGATGGGAGGGCCTGACTGATCCTGTCCCCCACTCTCCACCTCCACAGAAACAGAGCAGAGCTCTAAGCACCCGGTCTTTGCCTTCTAAAACTATCCCACCCACACCAATAGGGACCTGGGCCAGCTTCTTTGAAAGGTCCCTGGAAGCGTCCATCAAGGCTGCACTACCAAGGTGAACCTCAAGGGGGAGACCACTCCCAGTGGAGAGGAGGAGGCATCCCAGCTGGAGTGAAAATGCTGGGCCCCCATCACACCCCAGCAGGTTCTCCAGTGGGGAGGGCAGAGATGGCTCCAGTTCATCTTTGCAACCTAAAGACTCCACCTTCGGAGACTCAGCAAGGGTCTCCTGGGTGGTTGGGTGGATATATAACTTTTAGTTACACCGAGACCAAAAACTTGAATTTTTCTCTGCTTTTCAAAATCAACTAAAATGGCAATAAAATGTTTAAACCTACCAACCCACGGAGACGAAGGGAGAGAAGACAGCAGGTGAGAGGTTCTAATAAAATGTTGGACAACAGAAGGCAGATGGATCTCAGCGCTCAGGAAGTCCAAACCCAAACACTTTCAGAGAACAGGAGGATGTGGAGGTTGGTAGGGACACAGCACCTACACCTGGCACAGAGCTCTGCAGGCTCAGAGTGGGTGCAGAGGTGCCCTGGAAGCTGGGGTGCAGGACGGTATGGAGCAGAAATAGGAGGACAAGCGGAAAGCCTGTGGAAGGAGCAAAGGGTTCCCCAGATGCCTTCTGCAAGGCAGCAGGATGGACATCTCTGGGCATCCATCTCTCGCCCCTGGCTGGAGATCATTCTGGAGCTTTGGACTGGAGAGGCTGGAGAAGAGAGAAGGGTCGCTCTAGAAGCTGGGAGTTAAGGGCAAGTCTGCATACAAAGAGACCCCAGGCTCCTTCCCCTGCTGCTCCGCAAATACCGATAACTGGGCAGGAGAGACCTGGTACAGAAGCCAAGTGGCCGGCTTCCCGCCAAGGATTGCCAGGCACTTGAGGAAAGCCTCTGACTTTTGAGAGAGAGAGAGAGAGAGTGCGCCTACCAACAACAAACAGAAAATCCTGGACTCTCTACTGTGAGGGACCTCTAGGGGGGCTCACATCCTTCTTCCCTACTCACCATCTTCTTTTCAGAGAATGGCATCCAGGGAGGCCTGGCTAGTGCCCTGATGCATGTCTGGATCTCCAGAATCCTGTCCCTCCATCCCATCCCAGCCCCAAACTCTTATGCTCCAAAAGGATGCGCCATTGAGTGCATCTCCCCTCCTAGAATGAGCTGGGACTCCTAGAAATGGATTCACCCAGTGGTGTGCTGGCAAAGAGTTAACGACAGGCTGTCTGGAAAAAAAGAAACCCCAGTTTGCAGGCCTCTGCTGCTGGCTTCAGAGGTCACCAACATGAAGTCACCGGCTGTGGAGTTGAGAGATGCCCCCAGTCCTCCCCCTCAGGCCCATCGGAGCTGGCTCCAGCACACCGCTCCATCTGCCTCTAGGTGGCAGTGGCCAGGGACTCACTCAGGCCACCCGGCACCGCGTCAGGGGCCCTCTGCCTTCATGGCTCTTCTGGACCAGAGGAGAGAAGACAAGATGGGAAATCCCCCCCCCCCCCCACCAATGAACTCCAAGTCAGAAGAGGCAGTTTGATGTAAAATGAGGGCTGCGGGGGGCGGGGGGGGATGGGGGCCGGCAGCTGCACCAATGTGGAATCGCATTCAGGTGACTTCCCTCTCTTGACTTTGGAGGGGTTGCCAACCTTGGCTTATGGGGAGGGTGTGGCCAGCACCAGCTTTGCTCGGGACTCAGGCTCTGGAGGGGTGTTGAGGCCTCTCTTGGGGAGAAGGGACCGAGAATCAAGTCTTTTTGAGTAAGGGACTGGTGGGGCTGGGTAGGGAGAGGTAGGTAGGGGCCTGCGGGATCAGCCTCACAGAAATCCCCAAAATGATGAGGTGTCAGGAAACCACAGATAAGGGAACAAAGCAGACCATACTGCCCTAGATGTGTGTGTGTGGGGGGTCTTTTTTTGTGACAGTCACCTGTGACCAGAGAGAATAACCAGACCCTAAAAGAAGGAAGCCATAAAAGATATTATCACCAGGGACGCCTGAGTGACTCACTGACTGAGCGTCTGCCTTTGGCTCAGGGTGTGATCCCAGGGTCCTGGGATCAAGTCCCACATCGGGCTCCCTGCAGGGAGCCTGCTTCTCCCTCTGCCTGTGTCTCTGCCTCTCTCTGTGTGTCTCTCATGAATAAATAAAATCTTAAAAAAAAAAAAAAGATGTTATCACCAGTGCTTATTCAAACCAAGACATCCCGGGAATGATAAGGCCGCAGTTCCCTGTCAGTTCTAAATAAAAGACTGTCGGTGGAGGCCCACGTTGGCAACCCTGTCAGGACCCCTCTCACTCCTTTGAGAGCTTCCTCTGTCTCATTGTTTCATAAACTATCGCTTCATTTCCCAGTCTTCGGGCATCTCTGGACTTAACCTACCGTAAAACGCCCCCCTGCGGCCTCAGTTTACCCACCCACAGCCACCCATTCAGATGCCAGGGAAAGGAAGGACAAACTTTAATTGCTGCCGAGAACAGAGACCTCCCTTTGCCTTTGATGACAGTGGGCACGGCACAGCTGTCTTAGCCCTTGCTCCCCCGGGAGCAAGCCGCCGTTCTCCCCGGGACCCAGGGTTGCGGGGGGGTCAGGGTGTAGCTGGTGGGGGGCCTTCTGACTGGCAGAGGCCTAGGTACGCCACAAGACCAGGTTGGCAGGAGGCACGTCGAAGCACTTGCGGGTGTGGTCAGTGTCCCTCCGGTACAGGTAGCCGCAGGTGGGCTTCTGCAAGGTGTAGAAGGGGTTCAGGGAGTTGGAGTACTGGGAGGTGTAGAAGCCGAACCTGAGCTTCTCCAGGCTCTGTCCCCTCGGGTCTACCACCACGGGCACATAGGCTGCCGCCAGGGTCTGCTCACGGTCCTGTTTCCACGACCGGGACAGGGGAGGCCGTGGAGACTTCTCCTTTTTGCTTGACAGTGTCTTGGGCTCCCGGCTGGGTCCTGAGGGTTTCTTTGAGTCCTGGGGGGCGGGGAGAAGGAGAGAGCTGAGGCATCAGACTCTGGGGCTTGCACTGCTAAGGCCAAGGGTGGGAGTGAGGGGGCAGGTGCCACTGGTCAGAAGCTTCCAGAGCCACCCCCGAGAAGCTCTGGTGGCCAGACACCTCCAGGAGCGGGGTGACCCTCAGGGCCCCCTGACCTACCCCCTCCGGTGCAGACCTCAGCCTGCTTCTCAGAGGCTGGGAGCCAGGCTCGTCCTCAACCCCTCACCCCTCTCCCCTCTGCCCCGTGTCCAGCTGTCTGTCAGAGTCCTCCACGGGGCTCCCAACTGGCCCTGGCTCCCGCCAGGCCTCCATCCTGTCTCCTGCAGGGTCTCTCCAGCCTGGGCCTCTGCACACCAATGGCCAGACCACATAGCTCTTCTCCTCAAAGTGTCTTTGGCTCTCTGCTGCCTAGAACAGAAATCTCTAGGACCCCTGGCCGGGAAGGCAAGAGCTTTAGGGACAGGGCTCCCATCACCCTGTGCACTTGCTAGATGGCCTGCCTATCACCCCTGGTGGCACCTTGTCCTTCCAGGCCTCGGGGCCTTTGCTCAGGCGGTTCCCCCAGCCCAGCAAGCCCTCCCCCACTGCTCCCCTCATCCATCAGGGAGAGTCTCTTTCCCCTTTCAGCCTTAAGCTCCTTAAGGGCAGTGCATTCTCACCCTTACCCTTGACATGATGGCCTCCAAAGTCCTGTTCCTTGTTTTACTCCAGAACAAGGCATTTAGTGAGCACTCAATAAATGTTGGTCCAATTGAACTGGAATCTACTAAGGGGCAGTTCCCCTTCCAACCAGCCAGTCCATTCCATTTTAGAACACCTCTCATTGTTACAGAGTGACAATGCCAGCTCTTCACAATCACCGCTCTCGGTTGTTTAGGCACAGAGGTCTACTCCCCGAAGATGCCCCCAGTGCCCCACTGGCCACATTTAGTGACATTTATTTACTCCTCTGTTGCCACTCTCAAGACTGCCCCATGATCGAATTGTTTGGTTCACCCTTGATTCCCCCCACACCATCTCCCAGGTATCGGATGCCCATCTTACTAGGATTCTTCACAGACATGACGGTACAACCCAAAGGATGAGATGCCTGGGTGTCGGGCTGGCCCTCTCCTGCTCCTCCAGGCTACTGCTGTGAGGGGAACCCATTCCCACTCTGCCCAGCCTCATGGCCCTCCAATCCTGCCCTTGCCCCAGCAGGGAAACGGAAGGGAACCCTAGCTACAGAGTTACTGCAAGTTGAACCCCTGCCATCTTACAGAGGAAATCCCTGGCACTCAAGAGATAACGCACACTCCTTTGCATTTGATTTCAAACTACTTGCCCAACTCAAACCTGCCCAGGGCTTTCCTCCCAAGCAGGCTCTGATTCCTACCCAGGAACGCGTGTGTTATCTGCTGTGCCTTTCAAAATTCTTCCTATCCTTCCAAGCCAGCAACCCTCTGGACATCTCCTCCAGGAAGCCTCCGGTACTGCAGCCCCTGCCCTGTCTCACCCTCCTCTCTGCCTTCAGGCCCTCCTCTAGGGCTGTGCGGTCCTTTGCCAGGCAGGGACAAGGGGGAGGCAAGTGAGCATTGTAAGGAGGAGCCGGGGCCCCCTGAATGCTTCTTTACATCTTGCTGCCCTGGGCTCTGTGCTTGCCTCACCCCAACCCCAAATCCTGGTCCTTCCAGGCTCACACCAATGTTCCAATCGCCTGTCAACTGCTCCCCATGTTCAGGACCTCACCCTGTTCACCTCTGTGTCCCTGGGGCTGACCCCCATGCCGGCCCACAGCCCAGCTGGAGACAGGGGCGTTCAAGTGTTCAGCAGCCTTCCCAGACTCTCTGGGGCTCAGTGGTGCTGGGGGTGGGGTGCAGTTTACACACCGAGGGGTAACATCGGAAATGAGCTCTGACAGCGTTATCAGCAGGGGTTCTTCACCACCTGCTGCGAGCACATCAAACTCTTTAAGGAGATTATCTCCTCTAATCCTCACATTACCCTTTAAGGAAGATAGTATTACTAGTCCTAGTTATAGTTGAGAAAACTGTAGGAAGGGGGTTAGTCACACGTTTAGGGCCAGGTGGCCGGTAAAGAACCAGGCTGGGACTGAACCCAGGGCTGGCTGACCCTAAGGCCCACACCCTCTCCCCCATGATGCAGACCACGGCCACTGCACTGGGAGTGGGGCTGGGGCTCCCAATTCATCCAATTCATCTCTGCCCTCGTTTCCTCGTGGCGCTGGGCAGCAGGGCAGCAGCTGAAGGGAAAGGCAGCCAGGCCTCCCAGTTTGGCAGGGACACTGGGGTTTTGAATGCTGGATTTTGGCATGACCATCTCTTGGCAGAGCTGGGGATATGACATTATTTGCTTTGTTCAGTCATTCATTCATTCAAAACTATTCCTCTTACATGCCAGGCCCTGGGCGTGCAAGTAAGACTAATATAAATAGAAATAGGAAGCCCTGTAGAGCAGGGCTTCCTGCCCCCAGCACCACGGATGCTGTGTGCTGATAATTCTTTGTTGTGGGGCAGTTCTGGACATTGCAGGACGTTTAGTATATTAAGTAGGTTTCTGAGAATGTGGGGCTCTGGTCCTTTTGACACTACAGAAGGGCCCAGCCCGTGGCTGTGGAGGTGAGGACCCGCAGGGCCTCCTCCCTTCAGCCTTGGCCATTTGGACTCTGCTTCTCAGGCTCTGAGGCTGGTGTCCGGGACCCTCCTGTCTTGGGTCCACCTGTCAGCTATGCCTCAGTGGCTGCTACTGCAACATCTGGGGTCCTGGGAAGGGGGGCACCCAGTGCCTTCAGCACATTCAGGGATGAGGCCCTCATAGAAACTGGGGCAGAGGGACAGTCCCGGGAGGAGGAATAAGATACCTGGGAGGAGGAAGGGGAGGAGGAAGAGGAAGCCCAGGCAGTCCAGTCTTGCCCTGCCCTTTCTGAGGGCCCAGCTGGGCTCCAGGTGACTAACATCAGAGGGCTGAGAACACCCCATGCCAGCCCAGGGCCCAGCAGGGCCAGCTCTAGGGGGAGGGTGGGGCCTGAATGCATACTTTCCAAGTTAACGTCTGGTTTCATTGAACCATCTCCTCCCCTCTCGGGTTCTCCTGTCAAGAGCACGGGAAGTGGGGGGGGCTGTGGAGGGTGCACGTGTGTGACTTTAGAGAAGTGGTTCACAACCTGGGGTGTTTTTCTCTCCAGGAAAACATTTGGCAATGCCAGGAGACACTTCTGATTGTCACAGTGGGGATGCTACTGGCATCCAGTGGGTAGAGGCCAGGGATGCCGCTAAATATCGTATGGTGGGACACCTGGGTGGCTCAGCTATTTAGTGCCTGCCTTCGGCCCAGGGCGTGATCCTGGAGACCCAGGATCGAGTCCCACATCGGGCTCCTTGCATGGAGCCTGCTTCTCCCTCTGCCTGTGTCTCTACCTCTCACTCTCTGTGTCTGTCATGAATAAATAAATAAAAATCTTTAAAAAGAGATAAATAGATAAATAAATACATATCCATCCTATGGTGCCAGGACAGCCGTCCAGTAAGGAATTATCAGAACACAATGTCATCGGTGCCCAGGCTGAGGAGCCTGCTTTAGAGCTTTGAGGAACACCTCTAACTTCTACCTGCTTTCCGCAGTGTGCACTTAAGCCTCCCATTCCAGGGAGCGAGGAAGTCTAAAGGGCAGGTAAAGGGTCTAACCTGCCCCTTCCCTCCTTTCCAAATCCCACTACCCTATTTTCTTAAAAGATTTTATTTATTTACTCATGAGAGACACACACAGAGAGAGGCAGAGACACAGAGAGAGAAGCAGGTTCCCTGCAGAGAGCCTGAGGTGGGACTCAATCCCAGGACCCCAGTATCATACCCTGAGCCAAAGGCAGACGCTCAGCCACTGAGCCACCCAGGTACCCTCCCACTACCCTATTTTTATCTGCATTTCCAGCAGAGCCAAAAGAAGAGACCTCTCCCTTTATGAGCCCTGCCCCGCAGCCAGACCCTCCCAAGGCATTTTAGGTACACAAATCTATGCGTCTGTCCCTTCTACCAAGATCTACAATGGGGAAGAGGGTGACTCAAGAGTGAGGCTTTCTAAGTAGAGCCAAAAGACCTCATAAAGGGTTTTTCTGCAGGTCTGGGAAGACACTGCCCTCTCACAAATACCTCAGGCCCACAGGTACATCCTCTAGCCTACCCAGAGCCTGACATTCTACCATTAGCACCTCACTCTTGGGGAGAAGGCCTTGTGCCCTCTTGAAATGCAAATGGCACTGGGTGAGGCAGCAGATGAGGCCTCCCAGGGCACCTGGCCCTGTGGAATGTGCCTGGGCTTTGGAGTGTGAAGGTCTGAGCTCAGGGCCTCACTGGCCTTACAGGTCAGGCAGCCTTGGGCAAAGCTCAGAACCTCCTTGAGCTTTGGTTGCCATGTTGGCAAGATGAGGATAATGAGGCTGTCTCCTTCACCAGCATGCCATGGGGGGGCAGTGAGTGTGGGAACTGTGCAAGCAAAATGCAAATAGTAATTATCATCAGCCTCATCCAGCAGTTACCCCCGTAGGTTTCAAACACGCTCAGCATGGGATCCCTGGGTGGCGCAGCGGTTTGGCGCCTGCCTTTGGCCCAGGGCGCGATCCTGGAGACCCGGGATCGAATCCCACGTTGGGCTCCCGGTGCATGGAGCCTGCTTCTCCCTCTGCCTGTGTCTCTGCCTCTCTCTCTCTCTCTCTGTGACTATCATAAATAAATAAAAATTAAAAAAAAAAAAACACGCTCAGCAGAACCTTGGTGAGAGCCGGTTGGCCGGCAGTGGGCAGAGGGGCTGGGAAGGGAGCAGATGAGGAGGCCAAGCGAGGGCCTTAGCTTCCTCGTTTGTGAGGCTGTGTAGCATTGTGGCATGGAGTTCAAATTCAAGCTCTGCCACTCGCACTAGGTGGCCAATCTTTCAAGAATTTAAAATATTCTGTATCTCAGTTTTCCCACCTCTAAAGTGGGCACAACCACAGTATCTACCTCATAGGGTCACCATGAGGATTTAATGAGATATACTGGATAAAGAGCCTAGACCCCTTGAGCATTCAGTAAACTTTAGCTATCATTGCTACTTGTCACCAAGTTTGCCTAGAAGGGGAAATGCGCACTGACCATCCAGGAAGTGTCTGGGGAAGTGAAGGGGCAGAGGAACACCAGGGGGTAGATGGTGGCCGCCTTCCTGCCCCCTCCCCGGGGAAGACAGCAGGGGCTCCACCGTAGGGAAATAAGAGTTGGGTTGAGGTGGGCTGGCAACCAAGCTTTTTATAAGAGGCCCTCAGCTCCCAGCCACGCAGATGGGCCAGGCTTGGGCCTTCATACGCTTTCCTGCCCATCAGGCTTCTTATGGCCTTGGGCTGCCCTGATGCAACCCTGTGATGTCATCCCACCTGGGACATCCTTGACCAGGGCCTCTCTTGTCGGTGAGATGGAATTTCTGGTGGTCAGGGGCTCCAGGGTCTCCCAGGGACTCTTGGGGAGTACTGGGAGTGCTGGGGTGGGAAGAATTTGCGTGGCAGGGGCATTGTGATGCCTCTTTGACACCACAATTCTGTCTTCCTAAGGAGACACAGAGGCAGGGCTGGGAGCTAAAATCACAAGGCCTGGAAGGATCTTTTAACCTTGACATTTTCCCTGACCCCTGCGATGCCCTCTTTTCGCAATCTCTCAGGACCTGTGACCTGTGGGTAGTAGAGTGAGTAGAGAGAGGAGGAAGTGATCCCAGTTACTCAGGTAACTTCAGAAGTCCTAATGTTCCCCCAGCGCCCCAACATGTCATAAGAAATTACCAGCAGGGAGGAAATGTCCCCAGTCAACTCTCCATTCTCTTTCTGTCTCCCTCTCTCTCTCTGCCTTCCAAATTGCAGAAATGATGGAGGGAGGGAGGAAGGGATGGCTGGATGCATGGACAGACAGAGGAGTGGGAAAGTGGATGGGCAGGAGGGTAAGTTTGGTAGGTAGATAGACGGATGCCCAGACACCCCTGATTTGAGACCTGCTCACCTTTTTAGCCTCATCTCTTGCTATGTTTCCCCTCACTCTATGCAGTAGCTAATTTCTTAAATACACCCTGCTCTTTCCACTCCAAGCCTCTACCTATGCTGTTCTGTTGACAGGAGGCTGGGCAGGGTGCCTGGGGGTGAATGGATAGATAGATGGCCAGTAAATGGCTAACATGCTGGGTAATTGTGCTGTAGAGACAGGATAGCAGGCCCAAGAGTCAGGCCCCTTGAGCTTGAAACTGGCTCTACCATTTTACTAGTTGTATGACCTCCGGCAAGTAGTTGACTTCTCTGTAGATAGTATTTGACAGTCTGTTCATCTGTAAAATGGGTAGACTACAGGTCTCTACCTGCTAGGGATGGGCAGAGGACTCAGGATGGGGCCTGGCACAGAGTAAGCACTTGGTAAGTATTAGCTATTATTATGTGTGAGCAGGTAACTGGATTGATGGGTTGGTGGCTGAATGGGCCATCCCATCCCCATCTTCAAGAACCAGACCCATGCCCAACACCAGACTTGATAGGCACCTTCTAGGAATGGGTCAGAAATCCCACATATGGGAGGGAGGGACCTGGGTTTCAAAGGGGACGAAGGGATAGGACTGGGGGAAGGAGATAGAACAAGTCAGTGACTTCCTGCCCTCTGCCACAATGGCGTGGGCTGGGCAAGGGCTTGTTCCCTTCCTGGCACTGTGTCAGCACTGACTGTTGGTTACGGGGTGGACTTTGGGGCCCTGTGGCAGATTGAAGTTGG